TTTCAACGGTTTCTTGCTCTCATTCACATTCAATTTTCTAGTGTTGTCCGTAGAGTTCGATTTGATAGAGGTGCTCGAGTTTCTTTCAAATGCTTGTCAAGCCTTTTTTCTTCTAAAGGCATCTTACATGAAACAACCGTAACCTATACCCCATAACAAAATGAGGTTGTTGAAAAAAAGCATAGGTATATTCTTAACATTACTAGATCACTCATATTTCAATCCCATATTCCTATCCAATTTTTGGGTGATTGTATTCGACTTCCACGTATATCATAAACGAACACCTACACCTTTTCTAAATGAAAAAACTCCTTTTGACATTTTGTTTCAAAAACCCCAGTACTATTCTCATTTTTTAGTCTTTGGTTACTTATGCTATGTAAAAGTTTTGCCTTGTTTGGACAACTTTGCTTCTCAATCTACTACTCGTGTTTTCCTAGGGTACCCTTACTCTAAAAAAGGATACAAATTTTTAGATTTAAAAACTTAAAAAGTGTTTGTTTCCGGAGATGTATTGTTCCATGAATCTTTTTTTCTTTCCATCCTCGCTTTTCCAAAATCACCTTCCTTACCAAACAAATCTAATAATCTCGTCCAACGGTGGCTATATAATGATATTGATCATACTTTCATTCCTGTCGCCCCTTCTTCGACTTTCTATAGTTCCGACTCTATCGCTCCAGGTTCCGATGCATCGTCTATCACTAAACGTATTCCGGTAAGTGCCTCATCTCCCTCGGTTATGTCTTCCTTGCCTAGCCGTCTTCTTCCGAGGTTTTATTAGCTATGCGAAGATCTACAAGAACTTCCAAACCTTCCATTTGGCATTCAAAATTTTCTTGTCCTACTTTAATGAAATCATCCTTCGATTCATCCTATTCTAACATTCCATATCCTATTCACAACTACCTTTCATATGATTCATTGTCATCCTTCTACACCAATTTTATTTTTTCTATCTCATCTATCCGTAAGCCCACTTCTTATCATTAAGCCATTAAAGATCCTAAGTGGATAGATGCTTATGAATAAGAAAACCCAAGCTCTTGAATTTAACAACACTGGACTTTAGTTCCTCGCTAGCGAGTAAACATCTCATAGGTTGTAAATGGGTGTACAAAGTTAAGTTCAATCCGGATAGAAGTGTTGAGCGATACAAGGCTCGGTTAGTAGCTAAAGGGTATACTCAACTACAAGGGATTGATTATAGTGATACTTTTTCACTCGTTGTCAAAATGGTTTATGTGCGAACTGTTGTTGCTTTGGTCGCGATATATAAATGATCTTTACATCAATTAGATATGACCAATGCCTTCTTACAAGGTGATCTTCATGAAGAAGTCTACATGTCTATCCCTCCCGGTTTTGGTAGTAAGGGGAGGGTTTAGTTTGTCGCTTACTTAAGTCACTTAAGTCACTCTATGGCTTAAAACAAGCCTCTCGACAATGAAATTCCAAGTTCACTAAAAAAATGATAGTCGTTGGTTTTTTTCGGTCCCTCACTGACTATGTTTATCAAGAGGTAGCATGGTAGAATGGTTGTTTTATTGGTTTATGTCGATGATATACTCATAATGGTGATGATGAAAAAGGTATCATGGCATTAAAGATGTTTCTACATCATACTTTTCACATTAAAGACCTTGGTTATATGAAATTCTTTTTGGGGATTAAGGTAGCACGATCTCGGTAAGGTATTTGTCTTAATCAATGCAAATACACTCTAAAGCTCTTACATGATCGTTGGCTTACTTGGTTCCAAACCGAGTAGAGGTTCCTCTTGAACGGTATTTAAAATTGACTACGGCAGAGTATGATCAATTGATGGATCCCGTTATCCCCGATCCTCTTCTCACGGATCCATTAGAATATCGGAGATTGGTAGGCAAGCTCATTTATCTCATCGTCACTAGGCTCGACATTTGTTATGCCATTCAAATTCTAAGCCAATTTATGCATCAACCTAAAGCTTCGTATATAACCTTCGCTATCGGATTCCTAAGATATCTCAAAGGTAATCCTAGCCACGGTGTATTGCTTGATTCTTCTAGTAAATTAAAGTTGAGTGTGTTTTGTGATTCGAATTGGGCTTCTTGTCCCATAACAAGGAAATCCCTTATAGGTTTTTTTGTGTTTCTTGATTCCTCTCTATTGTCATGGAAAAGTAAGAAGCAAAATACTGTCTCTCGTTCTTCTGCCGAGGCGGGGTATCGGGCGATGGCTACGCCACTCGTGAAGTCGTCCGGATTGTTAGTTTGTTGTGAGATCTTGGTATCACATGTTTAGCTGCAGATAGAGCTTCACTCGTGATAACAAAACGACCACCGCACATTGCCTCCAATCCCGTATTCCATGAGAGGACTAAGCATATAGATATCGACCGTCACTTGGTCCATGAGAAGTTAAAGTCCGGGTTGATCAAGCTCGTTCATGTTCCTACGACTCACCAAGTTGTCGACATTTTTACTAAACCTCTTGCGCGAAACAACATCATTCTCTTCTTTCCAAGTTGAGAGTTTATGATGTTCATAAACCACCAACTAAAGAGGGAGTATTAAGAGTATAAATAATTAAATTATTTAGTTGGTTGTTAGTGGGTGGTTAGTTAGTTAGCCTAGTTAGTTACTAGTGAGAAGCGAGAGGATAAAACCTCATCTTGTACATATATCAAATGTAAATGAGTGGGAAATGGTATGGTATTCAAAATCCCCGAGTTTATTTCTCCTTAACAATAATATCTCATAATGAATCCAGCATTCTTTTTTATATGAGGCATCACGGTTTCATATTCTTGAATTTCAATAGAAAAAACCGGAAAAAGTCAATCTTACAAAATAAACATACCAAATAGATTAATATTTTAAATAATTAGGTTCTTTATCATATTTGGTTCCCGTGTATTTTGAATTTTTTAATTGAAATCTTTTATTTTATTTTTTGTCTCGATTAAAACTTTTTATTTTTAAAAATTTATTGATTCAAACTCTTCATTAACTCGTTCACTCGACAAAACACATTAAAATTAATGATAATTAATTACGAATAGACATGTGATATTGTATGTCCAAAAAATAGAATAATTTTGTTTAAAAAACTTATTTTAATTATAAAAAAATAAATAAAATAAAAAGGAAAATACCAAAATCCTCATCCCTATTATTTCTTAACTCATTTTTTTTTTATTTTTTTGCTTCGTAAATTCATTCACTCTCTCCTTATCATCACTTGTTTCTCTCTTCTTATTATTTCCCAACCTTTCGGGTTTTCCATAGCACTTGAGGTTCTAGCTTTTGGAGCCGGGATGGTCAAAGAAGTATCTAAAGATCTCCGAACTTTCCGTTAGTCCCATACATTATCCGAACTCCCATCCCTACCGAGAGGAGGTGTCCAGGACCAAAAATCTGGACCAATAACTCCATTCGTAGAAGACTCGGATCGAGATGCAAAGATGCTTCTATTTTGTGTTCTTGCTCCATAAGAAAAGATATTCAATTTTATTTTTGTTTTATTGTGATTGAAGCAATGTTTGGTGCATTAAATGCATAAACTAAATTCACCTTCACATTGAAAAAGAAAAAATTTCAATGTTCAAGAAATATTTTTGATTCAAAATTCCTATGATCATGTTAAGCATTTTAAAGAGGTGAACAATGGCCGGCTTCAAAGTACTCGAAGTTTAAATAATTTTTAAAGTTTTTTTTTCTAATCTAAAAACAACTATCACTTTTTTTTTATTTGATTTTTTTAATTTTTAAGGTATCTCGAGTCCAAAATCTTAGGCTAATCCATCGCTCTTCGACTTGATGCAAATGACAGACATAATTATTTAACAACCTTTCTATATATAAAAAGATTCGAAATCCAAAACACTTACTCAAACTAGTGTACTTTTCAAACCAAATCTCTTTGATAAAAAAACCAAGTCACTTTAATGTCAACATCCTAGCTCCGATTTCTAAATCATACGAAATACTTTAAAAAAACTTTAAATTGATAAAAGCTAATCTTCTCCTCATTTGCAAATACAAAACTACCTAAATCGAACTCACTTTATAGACATAAAGCACATAACTTAAAGCCTTTTAATTCACAAAATTAAACATACTAAACTCAAATAAATTAATAGAACCCCAAAATTTACCTCCTTGTTGAGCTTCCTCTTCTCCACCTATGCTTTCATGACTCTCGAAATCCCCATCCCCATCAGCATACCTTTTTTCATTGACAGTATCACGAGCTCCGGCAGTGACCGCCGCTGCACGATCAATAACCAACATCACCAGTTGCTTATGACTCTGTTTTCTCCCCATCGAAACTCAATCTCAAATAATGCAGATGCTTCTTATTCTTCTGTGCCAAGCCATCCGGATGAATGCGCCTTCCTTATGAGAAAATGTTTCCAGTGATTATTGACAAGTTTCTTGAGCCTGGTAATTTCCCTATCACTGCTGGAGACTTGGTTCTTGTAATTTCCATGGCAGGAGAGAAGTGGTGGAGATTGAGTGGGAAATAATGGGGGTGGGGTGAGGGGATTTGGTCTTTTCCTTTTTTTGTTTTTATTTTTGCTTTTTGTTTTATTATTAAAATAAGTTTTTTTATTTTTTAAAATTTTTATAATTTTTCAGATAAACAATTAATCAAACGATATAAATAATCAATAAATTTTTAAAAATAAAGAATTTCAATGAAATAACAAAAATTTGAGGGTCTCAGTTAAAAAAATTAAAGAATAAAAAAGAAGCTAACATGAGGTAAACCCTGAGATAATTACATTAATCCCCAACTTTAAGAAGTCAACAAATGATGATTGTGTGGTATCTAATTTTTTGGGTAATTAAACAATTTATATTCAAATTTATATAAAATTAGTAGGTCACTGGTCGGTGTCTTAGTTTTTTTTTAAAAAAAAAACCATTTTATTGGCTAGGAATTTATTAGGGGCAATGGGGTTTACATGTAAATTTAAAACGGTCTTTGCTGGTTAGAAATTACATCAAATGCGGCAATATAGTTTAGCCTCTTCTAAAGAAACACACACAAGGAGACAAGAAGCCTCGTGTTGTGTGGTGCCAGGAAAACCCACAATAAATGATTCGAAAGAGAGGCCCATGAGTGACGAGGCAAGGAGCCACCAAGATTCCAAAAATCCACCCTACAAGCAGTAGCCACCCCACACAAGCTTCTATTCTGCTAAATTTATTTATTTATTTGATGATTTCACCTCTACAATGCAATGAGGCCTCCACACACTCCACTACGATGGCTAGTTGTTGTGAGATTTTCCATCCTCTATGGCTCTATCTCCACTCTTTCTATGAATCTATCTGAGTTCTTTTTTTGTCGAAATTAAAAGCTTTTTAGAATACAATTTTGAATTCTTGCTGGCAAGGCAATTACGTCTTGCTTAGGATCCGTTAGTAATGTCGTGAGATTTGGACATCATGAAAAGGAGAATTCTAGTTATTAATTATGACAAATTTTATGGACAATTCTAACATTTCTTGTAGTGAGGACTGATGAGGAGAAAAAGACACTACTAATTAAACTAATTTACTTTTTATTAATTTGGTTTTTATTATAATTTTATTTTTAAAGTAATATTTAAATCAAAGGTAGATATTTAAATACGAGAAAAGAAATTTATAAGATTGCTCTAAATATGGAAAAATTCTAACAAAACTTAACAAATGGTTTTATAGTTTTCAGAACAAATGTAACATTTCCTAAAACGGCTCACTTGGATGCCATGGTGATGTAATTTGATTATAATTTGACAAGTAATTAGTTAGATCACGACTGGATCCGATCATGACCTGAAGTAATTGCTTTAAGCAAAAATAGTACCTTTTGTTTTTTTTTCCTGAAGACATTGTAAAAGGATCCGCATGATATATAACTAGCAAGGAATACCTCTGCAATCAAATTAGTTTGTTAACATATTGCCTAAAATTCACAAGCTCAACTAGTTAGCTAATTGAGGTCATGTTTGATATGATTTTTGCATTTTGATTTAAGTTATTTTTAAATTTTTTACTCAAAGAAAAAGTAATAAATATATTTGTTTAAAATAACTTTTGATTTGAATAAAAAAATTGTTAGAAAATTAAGTCGATTTTTTTCTTTAATAAAAAATTAAAATTTTTAACTTTTAAGTGTTAATGAAAATTCGTTCAAATTCTCTTAATGAGTTGAACACCGTTGATAGCTCTATATGAATATGATGTCAGTACAATAATATCGGCTTGGCAAATCCTAATCATGGGAAGACTTGATTTTAAAAATATATTAAGAAGTCTTTTAGTTTATAACCCTAAGATGTTGTTTGATTACCATAAATGAATAGTTTGAAATAAAAATATAAGAATCGAAATAAAAATTAAAATGATATTTGTATTTTTATATTGTATTTAGAATAGTAATTGAAAATCGGAATAAAATTTAAAATTTTTAATATCTAGTTTTAAACCAAATTAAAATAATTATTAAAAAAATAATTTCATAAATTATGATAATAATAGGAATGATAAAGAGGATTGTGGTGATGTTAGAAGAGAAAAAGGTTATAGTAATAATAGTACAATAATACAATAATATATTTAAAAAAAAATTGATATTACAGTTATAGAAGGTGACATTGGAAAATAGTGATAGTGCGTTAGTGGTGGTGGTATAGTAAAAGTGATAGTGATAGTGGTGAGAGGGTAGTGATGGAATAATAATAATAATAAATTTATTTTTTACTTTTTTTATCACTATTGTCAATAGTGATGGTGGTTGCGAAGATGACAACAATTGTAACGATGAAATAATAAAAATGATGGTTGTCGTAAAAGAAGACTAGTGGTGTAATAATAATAATAATAATTTTTTTTTTTTTATCATCATCATAAATGGAGGTGGAGGTGGAGGTGGTGATGGTAATAAAAGTAATTGATATACAATAAATAAATAAAAATACTATATTACTAGTTTGAAGAAAAAAAATCCGTTCTCATTTTTTTATTTTTATTCTCATTTTTTTCTATGAGAATCAAATTATGTTTAATTTTGATTTTATTTTTTCAACTAAATATCTACAAAATAGGAATAAAAATTTCATTCTTATTCTCGTATTTTCATTTTTTATTATCAAACAATAACTAAATATAGTACATCGAAATTGTTGTATAATAATAATTATTATTTTTGTATTATAATTTTGAATGGTGTCCGCATAAATATAGCAAGCATTGTTCCATCGACATATATCATACATTAATTAATGAGAAAGTTTACTTTGTGTTTCAAATTAAAATTAAATTGAAGCATCAAGTTGGATTTGTTTTTTTAATATTGAATAAATACCTTTATTTGTTGTTAATATTGGCAGAAGATGGATTCGTGTTCAAAAGTGTTAAATCACTCAATCTAAAATTCAAGTGGTTAGGTGGGATTCATTTTCGTTGATGCACTCTTTAAAGTAAAAGTTTTTGAACTTGAATTTAAACAGATCTACACTATTTGTACTATTGTAGAGGTTGTAAAACCCAAAAAGTAAGATTGTTCTATTTTTAATTTGTTTTTGACTTTATGAGTCAGTAAGATTGTCCCTTACTTGCTTATAGACTCCACTCTTCTGTTGACTGCACTGCCATATTTTCTCTGTGAAACTGCAAGAGAAAAATAAACGACCTCTATCATCCAAACCCTGATTACATAAAGAACAAGTGGCATCTAGGCTTCTTTCCCATTGCACTTTTCCGACTTTTGTTAATAACCTGTTATGAACGCAAAGCCAAGCAATGAAGCTGCTCCTAGGAACATGTAGGGATCCCCAAATGAGCCTATACCAAGGAACACTGCTGCCTAGCTCTATTCCTTACAAAAAACCGCCCACTTCTACAAGAGAAATTGCCTTCTGTAGATCGTTTCCAAGAAGAACAATCCTTAGTGCAATGATTCGGATAGATAGAGCCACAAATGGCATAGTGGATATCTACCATTGGATTTGACCTTGAGCCAGGGCAAAGCCAGTTGTTATCATGGATAACATCAGCAACTCTTGCTTTTAAAGGAAGTACTGTGCCAAATCCAATCCACTAGCTTCTTATCACCACAAAGAACATGATTGCAGGATAAGACACAAAGATTCTTCATTACACATTCACAATGCCACTCCTTAAGCTTCTTAACTCGAAGCCCCGGTTCCTGCTTAAGTCCACGCGGCTGAGAAGTGCCAAGCTCCAAGTCCTTACAAATTAATTAGTATTTCTCGTAACTTTATGGTCGTTTTTCACAACAAACAAGAGTTAGGGTGAGCAGAAGGTGAAGTTCTATTCGCTTAAGTAAATGATTTCAAGTTTGAGTTTTTGTATAAATAGAAAAGTTTTTAGATAGTTATGATCGTCTTACGTATCCGACTAAATAGTAAGAAATTAGTTTACTGTATTTTAGCTTGGAATATCATGATGATAAAAAAAGGTAGTTCTTTACACTATTAATTAAGTTTTACAAGTGATTAAATTCTATTTATACATTTTTTAGAAATCAACAAAATAGTACCTATACTATATAGTTAGATTTATATGGAAAAATACAAAATAAAGTATAAAAGGACTAAAGTTTGATTGCACTATTAGTGGTAGGCACAATTTCGTTGTACTAGAAAATAAATTAACTAGACCTGTCTTTGCAAAAGGACAAGTAGGCACAGTTATTTTCCCTTCTACATGCTCAAGCATGAAATCCTATCTGAAAAAAAAAAAAAAAAAGGTAACAAGGTGTTTTCCTTGCCTAATTTTCATCAAATGTTTCTAGTGTTTGTTCTTTTTATTTTTGTCACTAATTTTTTAAAAGATAACATGTTTAAGTTCGATTAACTCAATCTATTTGTGGAAGAGTTTTAAACTTCGATTCCAATTTAAATATGGTGGGAATTTTTATAAATTCGTAGATATGAAAAACCTAATATTTTTTTTATGGTATATGTTGTTAGTCTATCTTCATACTTATTATTCAAAACCATAACTTTGTCAAATATGAAAGCAATAAATAGTTGGGTGTAGAGAGACTTGGGTCGAATCTACCTTGTTTCTTATGATAAAATTCTATTAATTTTGAGCAATTATTTGATTTTGGAAAAAAAAGATGCAAAAATATCTCCTAACTTATAGGACAATTTTCTAAAAAAATTTATCTAGATAACAAAAATATTGTAATGAGATGGTATGCTCTTCGCTTGATTTTTTAATACATATTTTAATTCGAGGTTCTTTCGGACTAAAATAACATGAATTTGATAATTATTAGAAAATTAGAGCATCAATCATAATGTAAGTATTTTTTTTGAAAAAAAAAAGATAGAGGATTTGTAATGTAATAAATGTCCACTGATGGATAAAAAAACCTTAATGGAGTAAGTACAAACATTATAATGTCAAAATTTAAAGCTCGATCACTGCTGTGCAAATCATCCAAACTCTTCTCCAATGTATTTCAGTCTCCTTTCATGAAATAATAATAATAAAAATAAGAATCTGACGTTGTGTCGCAACAAAAAAACGTGAAGCAAATTATTGGAATCTAGGCCCATGAATCATGTGGAAAGGGGCCATTAAGTCATTGAACACAATATCAATTCTATAAAAAGGCCCCTCGGGCAACCCTTTCCAAGCCACAGCAGCAGCTGGTTTCTATTTTGCTTCTTAATTTATTTCTCCCCAAAATAAATTATTTTTTGCTTCTTCCGCCTTTAGAATTCAATATGTCCTCCACCAATTCCTCTGAAGATCCCTTTACAACTCCAATGGCCGGACGTGGTGAGATTCCTCATTCTATTTCTCTATCTCTCTTCAATATTCCCTGTATTTGTTTGCCTGAGAATTATTGCCCTTAATTGCTTTTTTGTCACAATTCCTGATTAATTGGACAGCCATTCAAAGTCGAGGGAGATTTTTCTGCCAAACTGCACTAATTAATGTGACCTAAATATTCAGGGTTTGACTTCAGACTTCGGTCATGAATAAGTATCTACATTAATATTTTCTTAGATTCATTTTCTTTTCTGACCAAAAATTCGGATTCCATACTTGGGGATACTGTAGCTCAAATCAATATTAAATCTCCACTAGCTGGCACACTAGCTAGTTGATTAAACGCAAAGGAGATTTTTCGGTTTGTAGTTGTCGAAGGAGAAGCTTCAACCTTGCCCTACTAGATTATTCAGCCATGGCGGGTTTAATTGATTAAACGTTGTCTAATACCTCATGCATGTAAAGAAAACACTGATTTATTAGCGTACTCTTACCTCATTATCGATCCTATTATTTCGATCGAGAATTTCTGCATTATATGTCTTGCATTTGCTAGTTACGTTAAGCTAGGTCTTGCTTACTGTTTTGTTGATCTTGTTTTCAGGTTTAGGCTTTATGTTTCGAAAATGAAATTCAAGCATCATTTTGGATTTGCTCGCATTTGTTGTTTTTCTGCTGAATCTTGAGTATATATATTACTTTGTTTTTTATTTCCTTTTCTTTTTTGCTTTGTTATATATATATCTTAATTACTTTTGGCTTTTTCGTTTTCGATTTCGATTTTTGGCTGAATGTTAAACAAATTTCTCTTTATATATATATAAATAAAATTTCCCCATATGCGAAATTTGGCATGATAATTAATATCATATTTTCACGTGACTACAAAATAATATAGAGTATATATTATTAGAAGACGGACCATTTTCAATAAAGAGAATGCATCGTCTTCTTAACGGAGAACGAAAGAGATGAGAGATTTTTTTTTAAAAAGAAACTCACACATCTATTCTTAATAGAACTAATTTATTAAGATTTAAATCCATGACCTCTTATAAAAAAATTACTGGTTACAAGCTCTTTAGTCAAGAGATTGGAGATATATAATTGATAACCTTGGCATCAAGCCTCAAACAGTAGCACTCCATCAGTACTGAAGTGCCATTTAGTTATGCATCTTCGTCCTAGGACGAAATACGACCCCATGTCTCAGTGAAAAAGCATACCATTGCCGACATTTCATTAGAGGCAAAGCCAATAACAAAAGCCATATCACAGGCGTAGAGCCACAACAAACAAACTCACATGACCCCGTTTAAGTCCTTTGCACTGTATATCGGCATATATAGTACTGATTGCATACCTTCCAGGAAAAGGTCAATATATATATATATATATATATATATACACTTGGAGATATTATTATTGTTAGCGAGCCCAATTCATGTGATTTGTCTGAAAAAAGTTGTTTTTAAAAAGAAGAATATTTACTGAACCAGAAATGAATCAGATAGTGATTAATAGGTTTTTTTTTTCAGTGACAAAGAATTAAGACTCTTCCAGGCAATTTTAGTTGCGTCTGAGTATATAAAAATGAGGAAGTTAAAAAATTCTTACATGCATATCGTGGGAACCGAGAACTAAGCTATGATCTTACAAATTCTTATCACGTCTCTTCCAGGCAATGAGTCATATTTAGTAATATATATATATATATTACTGATCTGCAGGTATAACTTTGGAAAATGAAATAAAACAGTCTGTGTCATATTCCCAAATTTCATGAAAAAGGGCCGAGATGATGACGTTTTCGAAACAGTACAAAAAAAGGCTGCACAAGATTCAAAATCGAACGCATGACTATGTTTGTCGTCTTACGATATCTGTAACGATAATGGCCGACGTAGCGGCGACAAAAGCGCACGGAATAGGAAAATAATTGATGGAGGGTGGGGCACAGAAAGCACGTGGCAAACGACTATAAGCTCACGTGATACCATCACCTAAATATTTGCCAGATTCACTTCTCTCTTTGGCCGGTCGCTGCTTCACGAGTCGTCCTCCAATAAACACTCGTTTCTTCCTTTGGCCCTTTTTCCTTTACTTTTTCAACCTTTTTTTCCTTTTAAGGAAAAAAAAATTTAGTAGATTCTTAGTAAAAGCGGTTCCTCAAGTTAGTGTGGGATTTGAAAAGGTCGATAAAGTCCTTTCAATATCGAATATTCAATTATGTCGATTTTTATTATTATTATTTTTTTAATAATGCCACTCAAAACAAAAGGTATCTTAAACTATAATTTGCTAGATCCTAGACTTTATTTTTTAATTCCACTTTTGTTTGTTTATGTAGATACTGTGATATTGCAATCGATATGATCTCTTTTTTTCCCTTTTAATTTGAATATTATACAGAAGATTCTTGTTGGATTGTCTTTTTTTAATAATTTGATAAGAAAGAGTATTATTATAGCATCATAATAATTTTTTTTTATAATAATCTCTTGAAGTGAATGGATTTTCTTTTTCTTTTCTCTTTTTCTTTTTAACTGAAGTGATTGATTTTAAAAGGAAAGGAATTCAAGTTCAACTTAAATAAAAATAAAATCAATATAACACAAACAATATCATATTAATCATAATTTAATATCACTTTATGGTTAATTATTTTATGTTTTTATTCTGGTGACATTTCTTAACAAAACCAATCTAGAGTCTGAACTTCAATAGTGCCATGTTATTTCAAAAATTAATTATTTAATTTTTTTATAAGTAAATATTTTTATTTTTTTATTTTAAATTTAAATTTTAAAAAATAAAAATATAGAAGGATTAGTGATAAAAATAATATTTTTAAAATAAAATAATATTAAATTAAGTGTGATTAATGCTAGTTAAAAAAACTAAATAATTAGTATTTAAAACAAAGAGATTAAATAATTCATTTCTAAAACATAAAGGGACTAATTTATAATCTACTCTGCAATTAACTCGAAACAGGCAGCCTAAGTCTTCCCTGTTCATCGATAAAAGCCCACGCATACCGAAACATCAGAAACCCAAGCAGAGTAGAAAACAGGGCATCGTAAGAGAGAGAGAGAGAGAGACTTTGATTGCATCCGCAAATCGGTGATGCAGCAGAAAGGCAGAGCCTATAACCGTAGATCCAGGAGCTTTTCAAGATCTCGCATTGCCGTTGAGGGATCTTAGTGTTCATTTTCGTCATCATCTCCTTTCAGGACCCTTTCCCTTTTCTCTATTATCTCTTCCTTTTTCTTTTTTCTTTTTCCTTATTACAGCAGGCTTCTTTCAACAATGGCTACTCATGGTACAATACCCATTTTTATTTTTTAATGTTTTGAAGAATCTTTTCTTTTCTGTTTTTTGTTTAATTAATTTGGTTTCTTTGTTGTTATTTCTGTCTCTGTTATTATTATTATTATTTTTTTTAATGTTTTGGAGATTACTATACATATGAGTGCATTATGTGAGATTGGATTTATATTGGTTTTTGTTTCTTGGTTTGGCAGTGGAAGAACGCCAGATTCAGAAGAAGTATTGGCTGGATAACATTTCTGATTTGAGTGTGAATGCAATGATGCTCGACTCCAAAGCATCTGAACTTGACAAGGAAGAAAGACCTGAGGTATCCTTCTTATTATTTTTTCAAAAATTGTTCATTTTTGTTTTTGTTTTCTTATGTATGTAAAATGGTTTTTTTTTTTTTTTTGTGAAATTTAGTAATTGTTTGATCAATGAATTGGTTGATTTAGATTCCGATCTCTTTACTCAATTTTGAAGTTACCTTTTCTTTTTGTGTGATCATTTTTAGTACCTTGGCATTGGAAGCATTAGTTGTGTAATAATGAATTATATAATTATTCTCCAAGTTCCCAGATTTAGATGTTCTTTGATGCCAAAGTTTTGTTCTTTCATCTTGATTATGTAAATTTTGATAGAAAAATATTCTTTTTTATCTTGGTCTTCATAATAAGTTACCATGATATTGTTGGTTCATCGGCTACTATGTATCTTCATTCTGAATTCTTGTTCTGGAAGTTATTTTGAGAAATTTTGGAGCTTTGATCTCTAATTGAATCATCGTTTTGAAGATTTTACTATCACATGCCATTATAAGGGTGTTAACTTTTCTGTTTCTCTAATTTCTTCAAGCTTTGAGATTATGGATTGCTGTTATGGTTGGTACAGTTTTTTGAAACTCAACTAATTGGGGTATGTACAGATACTTTCTCTGCTTCCACCATATGAAGGAAAAACAGTTTTGGAACTTGGAGCTGGTATTGGCCGTTTCACTGGGGAATTGGCACAGAAGGCTGGCCAAGTTGTGGCTTTGGACTTCATTGAGAGTGCAATAAAAAAGGTGACTGCGTACTCCATATTCTTATGCACTAAGAGCTTTTTGTTTATGCTTGTTGAACTGGATGTATAATGTTATTTCAATATTTCTGTTTGAGTTTTATCTAAATCTTTTCTTATCTGTCTAATCTTCTAATTGCAGAATGAAAATATCAACGGACACTATAAGAATGTCAAGTTTATGTGTGCTGATGTGACATCCCCAGATCTGAATTTTTCAGAGGGGTCAGTGGATTTGATATTCTCAAATTGGCTTCTTATGTATCTTTCCGACAAAGAGGTGAATATTCCTAATCCTTATTCCTGCTTTTTCTTACTTATTTGCTTCATATGCTTATGTATTTGTTAGTAATTCAGCTTAAGTTTTTTTTTTTTTTTTTTTTCGGAGCCAGTGGTCAGTGCTTTAATGATCTTATTGGAGGCTGTTACTTACTTTTTTTGAAGGTTGGTGTGATGATGACTTTGTTGTTGCACCAACTTATATATGAAGTATCCTACATAAATATTGTGTGATTTTTTTGTTGCCCCTTTATTTTCTCAGTGCCTTCAACTGTTTCTTGTAAACCAATCATGAGAAATGCCTGCACCAAATCTTCTTCACAAGTCCTTGCTCTTGAGGGACCATAATATGCAAGCCTAACCCACCCTTTTATGTTAGGGAGATAATAAAATGCAAATATTCTCTTATTTGAACTTTTCAGCGAAAATGGTACTCTAATGGAGATAATTATAGCATATCAGCTGTAAAATGTGAATACTTTAGTTGAACAACAGTGATGTTAATGTTTACTTATCTTTTTTTTTTTGGCTTTAATATGTTGGTTTGTCTAGAGATTCTTGGGTCTTGAACTATAGAATAGGATGTAACCTCTCATTTTCTTTAAATCCTAATCATCCATTCCAAGATTGGAAACCCAAAGCCTGCAGATCGAAGTATTGAGTTAGATCTGCTAGATGAGGTTAAAGTTGCATGGGTCCGTTGCTTCAATTCCTACCGAAGAGTTATAATTGTCCGTGCAGTGCTACTATTTTTTTTGTTGTTATTGCAAGTGATCTACTGGATTGGTTCTGTTGGCACAATTTTTGTTGTTCTTATGCTGCATTTCAATGTCGTTTTTGTATGCCTAGCCTAATTGACTTTCTGATAGTTCATGAGATGTCTTCTTGTTCTTTGAAACTGGTGGTCTTTATGGTTACATGTTAGTTAACTCTAGTACTTTTTCTACAACTCTGTTGATGTCTTTTCTCTTATATGTTGTTAACATGGATTGCAGGTGGAGAATCTGGTAGAAAAGATGGTGAAATGGGTAAAGGTGGATGGGTTTATTTTCTTCAGAGAGTCTTGTTTTCATCAATCTGGAGATTCTAAGCGAAAATACAACCCAACCCACTACCGGGAACCCAGATTCTACACAAAGGTTTGCTTCTTGTTCAAATATTCTTTGAAAGGACTCCATGATTTGTTGATACAACATTTATGGTGAACTAGAAAATTATGGTTTATATCTGTTACACTATGTTAGGTGACTGGATATTAGTATATTTTCAGAGTTAAGTAATCACTCTAAAATTGAACTTTAGTGCTATGTCAGCACATGGGGCATAAATCACTCATGCATGTTAAGACGGGATTGAATAGATGATTGGGCCAAACGTGGGCTGAGTTAAGTGACTTAAGTCATTCTGGTTGAACACATGAGTTTGATAACACCACTCAGGTTGAAATGTTTCTTCAGCCAGTACAATTCTCGGTTTCAGGAGAAAAATGAATATAGAGTGATGATTCCTCATGTGATTTATGGATCATAATGCCTGTTGCTGCCATTGGGAAGGTCATTTTTCAGTTAACAGGTTTTAAGCAATACCTAACAAGATCTTTATCAAGTTTTGAAAGAATAACTATGAAAATACGTACACGTAAACATTATACATGTATGCTTCATTCCATTTTCTTGGGATTGATCAATGCACAAAATATGAATTGGTGCTATGTCATTTGTGATGGTAATTTAATTTATTAAAATGCCATTTACTGATTCATATTGTATTGCAGGTGTTTAAAGAATGCCATGCACATGATGGGTCTGGAAATTCTTTCGAACTCTCTCTTATTGGCTACAAATGCATTTCAGCTTATGTGAAAAACAAAAAGAACCAGAATCAGGCAATGGAACTGGATCCTTTTGATCTTGTACCTTGGAGGCTTAATTGAATGGGTTAATTGACAAGATGCAATACTTCCTTGTTGCAGATTTGTTGGATATGGCAGAAAGTTAGGTCACATGAGGATAAGGGGTTCCAGCGATTCTTAGATAATGTTCAGTATAAATCAAATGGCATATTACGTTATGAGCGTGTCTTTGGACAAGGTTATGTGAGTACAGGAGGAATTGGTATGCTAACTTTCCATTATTGTTTTTTTTTTTTTTCACCTCCTGCGAAAAAGCGATAATTGATTTTTATCTATTCATGCCTTTAACATGGTAAGGAAACTGAGTTTGAAATTGCATCCCGAAAGTACTTTTAGTTACCCCTTTCCTCATTGAGCAGACCAATGGAAACTTAAGTTTTTGCAAACTATCTTAATTGCCTACCATATGAATATTTTTATTTTCAAGGAGTTCAATGCAAAAGTTCCTTCTTGTACATGTTCTTTATCAATATTAAAAGATCTGTCAGATTAGTGCATAGATCTCTTATTCCTATTTTCGCACTACTGTTTCTAAATGCATATTTGTATCTCTGCAGAGACAACCAAAGAATTTGTGGGGAAACTGGATCTTAAGCCTGGCCAGAAAGTCCTAGATGTTGGCTGTGGGATTGGGGGAGGTGACTTTTACATGGCTGAGAACTTTGATGTGGAGGTTGTAGGCATTGACCTCTCCATAAATATGATTTCTTTTGCCCTTGAACGTGCCATTGGGCTCAAATGCTCTGTTGAGTTTGAAGTTGCTGATTGTACTACAAAGACATATCCTGACAACACATTTGATGTTATCTACAGCCGTGACACCATTTTGCACATTCAAGTAAGGATTCCTAGATGTTTCTGCAAAGTAGCTTTTGATTTCTGGAGGTTGGAGAGTTGTCTTTCTTTGGCAGCATCCATTTTTTCTTCTGGTTTGTTTTAAGTTACTGATCAATTTGTGATGCTGCTTTCATTGCTGTTCCCTGGATAGAATTTTTCCACTCTGTTATCTTTATTCTTGAAAAATACCTGCTCCGTGACCTGCATAAAGCTGATTTATGTAAACCTTCCTATTTAGGAGTGATATAAGTTCATTACAATTTTTGCATGGTGCTTAATTTTTTCTGTATTATTGGAAGCTGTCTGCTTGTTTCTATTTCTATCCTTAATTAATTTTACCAATGAACTACCATGTTTCAGGACAAACCTGCATTATTTAGATCTTTCTTCAAGTGGTTGAAGCCTGGAGGCAAAGTACTTATCAGTGATTACTGCAGGAGTGCTGGAACTCCATCACCAGAATTTCTTGAGTACATTAAACAGAGAGGATATGATCTTCATGATGTAAAAGCGTATGGCCAGGTATATTTGCATCTAAAATAATTTGTTGTTAGCTGACGTTGTGGTTTTGTTTTGTTCCCAATTTATAAAATGTCTATCTTCTTATGAATGACATGCAGATGCTTGGGGATGCTGGTTTTGATGAGGTCATTGCAGAGGATCGAACTGATCAGGTTTGTGCAAACCAACCGTTCCCTTGTTTCCTCATTTCTTTTGTATTATGTTGGCCTTTGAAATCTAAACTAATTTGTTGCTTCATCCTTCAGTTCAACCAAGTTCTGCAAAGGGAATTAAATGTTATAGAGAAGGACAAGGATGAATTCATCCGTGACTTTTCCGAAGTGAGTTTACTTTCATTTGTTCAGTTCAGAAGTCTTAGTTGCTGATTTTCTTTAATTTGATGCTACTCATTTCTAAACGATTTTCATGGTCATTGTCCATTCCAGGAGGACTATAATGATATAATCGATGGATGGAAGGCAAAGCTGATCAGGAGTTCATCTGGCGAGCAGCGATGGGGTCTGTTCATCGCCAAGAAAAAATGATTTTTGGCTCTTTTATCTTGATTTACTTTCATCGTATTGAATAAGTGTTCTGGACGCTAGTTGATCTCTCTTGTTTGTAATTTATGATCCCAGCCGATGGGGCTGATGTGTGAACTAGGCTATCCTAGCTTTTGTAATATCTTAATAATAAAATTGATTTAGCACATACGGTGTTAGTTTCTTCTAGTTAACTTATTTTTATAAAAATATGTCGTTGGGTTTTTTAAGTAGAATATTTTTTAAAAGGTTTTTTGTGGCAATTGTTTCAAAATATTAGGGAATCTTATGTCATTTAAAATAAATATTTAGTTTTCTAATATATAATAATAATAAGAATAATAAAAGTTTAATGTATACCGATTCTAAAGTTATAAGATGTTATTACAGTAATTGCATTGTTTAAAAAAAAAAAAAATCAAATATCCCTAACTTACGGACCGCAATGTGGTCTAGCCACAAGGTGGAAAAAAAAAGAAGAAGAAAAATTCATTAGAAAGATGCATATGAAAATTGTGGTTGATATAATCTTTTATTAGTAATTAGTTAAATTTTATGAAAAAAGATAATTGAAATTCACCTTTCAATTCGAAATAATAAATGAGATTTGAATTTTCTTTAAAATAATTTTTTTTCCCACCAGTATCTTGGTCATATTATTTGATCTTGTTAATTTGAATAAAATTTAAAATATTTGCTAGAAAAAAACTTCTCATTTTTTTATTTTAAAAAACCTATGAAAATATTTTTAAACCTTTTAAATCCAAAAAGTTTTTTTTTCTTTTTTACTTATCAAAACATCTAATAGTTAACTGTGTTAAATTGAGAATTAACTATTGAATGTTTTGGTAAGAAAAACAAAACTATTTTAGATTTGAGAGATTTAAAAATATATTGTTAGATTTTTAAATAGAATTTTTTTAGATGGTTTTTCTAGAATTATCCAAAAATTCATTAACATTAATAATGGAAATTTATTTAATGTAATATGTATTATGCAATATTCAATAAAATACTTATATTTCATAATTGAGTTTAAATATATCCTATAAATATGCTTGATTTTTATCAATAAAATAAAAAAGGTAAAAACAATTTTTTTAAAAACTTAGAAGAGAGCGTTAAATCAATTTATATTATAAAAATATTTAATTTTATTTAATAAGTCTACGAAAAAAATAAAAAATAACCATTAACTTTTAAGAAAACATTTATTTTGAAAAAATAATAAATAATGAAAGGAAAAAAAAACATATAAAAAAAAAAGAAAAAGAAAAAAAAAGACTGGGCTGTGGCGTGCACTAAGCATTTCTATATGAGCCTGAAAACAGCCAAGCTCATGTTCCTGAGTTAAAAGCACTTCCCAACCAAAAAAGCCAAGACCTTGTTGCAATAAAAATTAAGATTAACGATCGTTTTGTACAAAATTAGAAAAGAAAATATCAAAGTGTAAAAATATATATAAATGTTCTTTTTTTTTTTTTTTTTGGCTCAAACAACATTGCTTCAAATATATATATATATATATATATATATATATAACCACCTCGTTTTGTTTCCTTTAGCAAGAGCTTCTACTGGTGTGCGCGTGTGCGTATAATTCTTAGCGCATGTCAGCTTACGTAGAGACAGGGAGAACGAAAATGGATATGCCAGTCTTCTGAACATCAGGTAATCCCGACCTGTAGGATATACTAGAGCCACCCATGGAGACTGCAATGATGTTCTACACATTATGCGAAGAAATATCTCTTAGTTTTGCATTAAACAAATATCTGGGAAACCTCTTGATTGTTGTTCTCTTTTCTGGTGCGTTGGACTATATTTTATGATCTGCTGTACACAATCAAAGTAGAGGGCATCAAAATGCCTTTACAATTTTGTGAATCTAGGTTTTCATCCGAGACTGAGGAAAACATATATATATAGCTACTTACTACAATTGACATATATACAATATTTATCAGGCAATTCTAAGTGTTGTAAAAGCAAACATTATGTTATGAACTTAAGAGGAAGTTCATGTTCATCATTTCAACATGTCAATTATGTCCTTCCCAGATCTGACAACAACTGGAGAAGTTGAGAGACTACCCCGTGTTTTTTGCTTGTCCAAAAGCAGGAGATCACCTTTCCTTTTCTTCTCTTCAGACTTTAAAGATTTATGGGGAGTTGAGGCTCCAAATATCTGCACCATCAAGCTTCCACCTACCGTGAAGTGCAGCCCGATCAGATTAGGTATCAAGGATCAGTCCGTGGTCAACTAGGATCTGAGTTTCTAGCTTGGTGAACCTAGTAGATCTTCTAGCAATTTCTATATTGCTATAGAATATGAAATACTTAGGAAACTGAATTAGATTGATATAGTAAGACGAAACACTTACCAAGCACAAGACCAGCCCCGATCCAACCAGCTGTTCCCCACCTTTCACCGAGGAGAAACCAAGCAAAACCAGCACCCCATAGTGGCTCGAGCCCATAAATTATGGCTGTTTCGGTTGCTGAAACATCACGCATGGCAGCAATCTGTATGAATAAATGTTGTGGCTATAAGGAACCAATTCAAAAACAAAGCAAATACCAAACCAACCAAGTGCTTCAAACAAGAGCAGATTTTCAAGTCGCCAAATGCCTGGAATTATGTTGAAGGTGAAATTAGAAACAGCATCCTAAATCAGATTCAGCATGCTGTACACGAGAATCAAGTATAGTACCTCTACCCATAAGCATAATCCAGTTGAGAATACACCAGTATAAAGAGCAGGTATCCACGGAAAGGCAACAAACCAATCACATAGCATTTCCCATGTCCATGATGATTGGTCAAGCTCTTGGTTGCCATCAAACCATCCTCCAATCAAGACCCACATTGTAGATAACAGAGCAACAACACATACCTAAATGAAACAGCATATTGTCCAACACTTCTAGATTCAGAAACTAAATTTAGAAAATGTCTGTATCTGCAAGAATCAAATTGGGGAGAGTAGTTCATTCATGAAGCAGCATACCTCATATCCAAGAAGCGGCAAGAAGTTCTCTTTCTTTGTGCTTCTTGAGAAATGTTCAGTTCGGAGCATATGAATTCCAAAAAATATTGCACTTAGAAAATTCAAAAGATCTCCAACCTGAAAAAGTTTATGTTATAATCAGCCAATGACATGATGATGCAAAGGGAGGAAAGCTTTATACTATTATGGGTGATTTCCATCATCTTCTACCAAACTGCTATTGACTTAAATGTTACAGCTGCCAAAAATAGTTATTCGCTGCTTACATTTGGAGGAGATCCACTGCACTCGAGCATCCCAACTCCTATGGCAGACATGAGAACTCCAAACCATGTACGAGCAGGTATATACGCTCCTAACATACCATCAAGCAAAGGTACCACAATAACCTGTTCCAGTCAGCAGGAATTTATTTTAAAACTGCAGTTGATATTAATTTCATTTCATTTTATTTCGGTGAATTATTCAAATTTTTTGTTGAATATGTTTATTTCAATAGGGAAGCAGAATCAGATAGAGTCATCCATGTATCAGAATGATGGTACACAATTAAAAAGCTACACAAATGTGAGGTTTTAATTGCAATTGTGACAAAAATCTTGATTTGCCAACAAGAGATTGTAGGCCGGCCAATAAGAACTTTTTCTACACCGTCTTGTTGCATTGTTTTCAGAGTATATAAGCTGCAGAACTTACAGTTAACAAAGAAATGAATGATGCACGTCCAGCCTCAGCTGTAAGTAGTCCAAGTGCCTCAATGAGGTAACCTAAACTGACCCACAATCCCAACTCCATCCCTGCATTGCGGGTCTGAACATCATCTCTTGCTCGAAATACAAACGGCAAAAAAGGGATGGCTGACACAACAAACCGTACAGCTGAGAAGGCAGCAGCATCCATCATTTCTTCAACTGCTTTCACAACCGGGATATTACTTGCTGAAATGTGAATTCAAACAAAGTTTTAGGAATGGCTTCGACTTTGATTTTTCAAACTAACTTGGTCTATTAAAAAACAAAAGTAATACAAACCTATGAGAACTTAATTCCATTGATAATAACTGCATTCTCGTTTCGAATGGATAAAAAACGTACAAGATAAATCATTCTCCATTGAACAAGCCTAGCTACAGGCACAGAATCTCACATCGTCATTATATCCAACTAAAATGAGCAGAGTTTAGTACTAATAACGGACTAGTTGGCAACTCCAACAACTTCCCTCTTTTTTCTCCGTTCTTTTCTTCTTTGAGTCTGGATATTGAAATAGTATCTGGAGTTGGAAATTATAACTTGCAACACATAGAAGGAATTTTATATTGAGGAAGCTGAATCTTTATAGCCTAATTATACACGAATCTTAGCAGAACGTCCACCATCAAATGAAATTTACTAGTCTCCTCACCAGAATCAATTGCCCACATCAAATTGCTCAACGAAAAGATTCCCTTCACACAGAATTTCCTTCCAGACTATTGATTTCTCATTGAAATTCACTATATCAGGGAATTATCAAATTGCCACATTTCCAAGATAGAATCAACAACAGTAACAAACACACCTAATCATGGAGTAATGTTGGAAAATAAAGCAATAAATGTAGAAAAAAAATACCATAGACGATGGTGATGACATTGAGCAAGAGAATACTGTTGATCTTGTCAGATGCAAACAAAACCTTTCTCCACGGCTGCTTCTTAACGTTGGATGATACTAATCCAACATGGTCACTCTTTTTACTGATGCTCTCTGTCTTACCCTCCTCTTCCTCTTCCTCTTCCTCTTCCTCCTCCTCCTCCTCCTCATCATCATCAGAGAAAACAAACAAGAAAGTCCCATCATAGGTTTTTGCATGTTTTAAAGATTTTTTCTTGTTTACAACAAGTGGGAGGGTAGAAGAACTTGAGGAGCACGAAGAAGAAGATGAAGGGTCAACTGAGAAAGTGATTAAACTGGATCTTTTGTATTGTTGAGGATAATGAACAGTGGAGGAAAAGAAGAGAAAGGAGCCTGAAATTAGAAAAGCAGAGTCTTTTCTTGTTGTTACTGTACTAGTAGTGGTGGTGGTGGTTGTCTTCCATGTTGGTGTAGGAGAGGAACAAGCCATAGCAGAAATTAACTACACTCAATTCAGTAGCAAGAATTGCTATATGTTTTTTGCAGTTTAATGATAGATTCAACAATTGAACTATAGTTGAAAAGAGAGGGAAAAGGAAGCAACTTTTGTTGGAGAAAAGAAAGGAAATTTTGGGGCCATGGATAATTCAAGTGGAAATGGACAAAATACAAATGGGAGTATCTAATAATTTATTAATTTTTGTTGCTCTTATGAATTTTTTTTTTTTTTTAATTGAGAAGCATCTATGTTGGATATGCATTGTATTTTGCATTTGCACATGTGAGATTAAGGATGACAATTTATCTCGTCTTATCCCGATTAATATAGAGATTTTTTGAGTTGATTAAAGAACGAGACGTAAGTTAATTTAGAGATTTCTTAAGTTAATTGAGAAACGGAATGGGCGTCACACCTCGTATTTATTTTGAATGAAGATGGGGCAAAAATGATATTTGCCTATCTCGTTTCATTTGTCTCGTTCTATTTTGAAATTACAATTATAACTTATATAAAATCTATAACTACCGACTTCTTAGGGTTTATTTTATATATGAATTGTCATTTCTTTATTATAGTTTGAAATTTGATAGTAGAAAAATGTGAAATATATTTGCCTATCTCGTTTCATTTGTCTCACTCCATTTTGAAATTACAATTATAACTTATATAAAATCTGTGATTACTGACTCTTAGAGTTTATTTTATATATGAATTGTCATTTTTTTATCATAATTTGAAATTTAACATCGATTCCCTACGAGGGGGTCTTCATTTCTATTTGAGATGGGAGTGGTATGAAAAATATTGATAAAATTTTCAGAGGCCCCCCCCCCCCTATGGCCATATGGGATTTGTCCCGGAGGGAGGTGAAATGTTGATGGGGGTGTGAAACTCATTCACCATTCACCAAACTAATTATTAGACGAACCATTCAAATCCAAATCCATACGAACACTGCATGAGGAAATTCAACAAGTTCAAGAAGAGTAAATCTACCCCACATCTGCAAAGGCAAGTTACTAGAGCGGCTTAAGCAGAGCAGCACTACTAGAGTACCATTGCTATCATAGAGAGAGGCATTCTTAGGGAACTCGCTTAAATCATTCAAACATTCATCGTATCATCACAACATTTTGAAGAAGAGAGGGAAAAATCTAATGATTTACTGCAGCGCGGAACATACGAAGCAGCAGAATAGCAGAACACCTTCAGTTTTCGACACCATCATCCTCCTCATACTCAGCATCTTCTTCAGCAGTGGCATCCTGATACTGTTGATACTCAGCTACAAGATCATTCATATTGCTTTCAGCTTCAGTGAACTCCATTTCATCCATTCCTTCTCCGGTGTACCAATGCAAGAAGGCCTTTCTCCTAAACATTGCTGTGAACTGCTCACTCACTCTCCTAAACATCTCCTGTATGGAAGTTGAATTGCCAATGAAAGTTGAAGCCATTGAAAGCCCTTTTGGTGGGATATCACAAACACTAGACTTAACATTGTTTGGTATCCATTCCACGAAGTAAGATGAGCTTTTGTTCTGCACGTTGATCATTTGCTCATCGACTTCTTTCGTGCTCATTTTGCCTCTAAACATTGCTGATGCTGTGAGGTAACGACCGTGTCGAGGATCAGCTGCACACATCATGTTCTTGGCATCCCACATTTGTTGGGTCAGCTCAGGGACAGTGAGAGAGCGGTACTCCTGTGATCCTCTAGATGTCAGAGGAGCGAACCCCACCATGAAGAAGTGAAGCCTTGGGAATGGGATTAAGTTCACAGCTAGTTTTCTCAGGTCTGAGTTAAGCTGACCAGGAAAGCGCAAGCAACAAGTAACACCACTCATTGTTCCTGAAATCAGATGATTCAAGTCTCCAACTGGACAAAAAAGAAACAAAAATTATTCATCAGAGGAAGTTTCAAAGAGAAATCATTGGTTCAAAATGGTCAAAACCAAAACAATTACAAGTCTTATTTGGTTGCATGATTCAAATCTAAGATGAATCTCAAATCAACTCCATCGCTTTGTGACCGAAGTTTTGTAATATTGTAATCTACTCACAGCTTGGCGTAGTGAGCTTGAGAGTCCTGAAGCAGATGTCATAGAGTGCTTCATTGTCAAGAACCATACATTCATCAGCATTCTCCACCAGTTGATGAACAGAAAGGGTAGCATTGTAAGGCTCCACAACTGTGTCTGACACTTTGGGAGATGGGAACACAGAGAATGTGAGCATCATTCTATCTGGAAACTCTTCTCTGATTTTTGAAATCAGCAACGTCCCCATTCCAGACCCAGTTCCGCCACCAAGGGAATGACATACTTGAAATCCTGCATTGATCGGTAAAATATTCAATATATTTTTTAGTCCACTGAACTTTATTGATCGAAAATCCAAGGAATTTTTCAGGGAAAGTGTTGTCAAACCCATCAGGCTTATGAGCAATTTAGCATCCTAATTTTGACAAACAGCAATCTAGGATTATTAAAAAAATAAAATTTCTTCCAAATTTTATGTCAACCTACCCTGTAAGCAGTCACAATTCTCGGCCTCTTTCCTGACAAGATCAAGGACTGAATCAATAAGCTCAGCACCCTCGGTGTAATGGCCTTTAGCCCAATTATTTCCTGCTCCGGATTGCCCGAAAACGAAGTTATCAGGCCGGAAAATCTGCCCATATGGACCGGTCCTGACACTGTCCATAGTGCCAGGCTCAAGGTCCATAAGCACACCCCGTGGCACATACCGGCCGTTGCTAGCCTCACTGTAATACACATTCACTCTTTCTAGCTGTAAATCCGAATTTCCGATGTACTGGCCGGTGGGATCAATCCCATGTTCATCACAAACCACCTCCCAGAATTTTGATCCAATTTGGTTCCCGCATTGCCCACCTTGAATGTGAAGAATCTCACGCATGTTGGCCTAATAGGATGCTTGCAGCTGAAGAAGGGCAAAATGGGAAAGGTATTGAGATATTATAACGGATGTCAAACTCTTCCTCAACGGGCTTGAAATGAAGAGGGGATCAGGGTGGGAATTTATAGTTTGACAACAAAAGGATCCTTCTCTTGCGCATTTATCAAAATGACATGATTGTCCTTGGCTTGTGATGTTGAGATATAGGATAAGGATTAGTTTATGATTTGTGATCGGATGGTTGAAGATTGTCCGTCTGGCTAAAGATGACTTATTTTTTGTCCATTAATGTGGGGATTTATTTTGTGAATAGTTGCCATTTGTTGGTGTAGCCTGCAGCATTGCCGGCTAAACAGGACTATTGAGCTAGGATTGCTATTTTGTTAGGAAATAAAAAGATAGATTAATATCTTCATATGTACTTATATAATATATTAATTTCTTAATCATTTAAAATAAAATATAAAACTTTTTTAATCTGTCTTTATATTTTGAGTTAATTTTTAATCTATTTTTTAGTTAAATGTTTTTTACTAAATTAAGTCAAATTAAGTATGTGATTTGATAAAATTATTTTTGCTATTTGATACAAGTGATTTATATATGTTAATATAAAGATTAATTTTCAAAAATTGGTCAAAAATTTTGACCAAAATGATAGATTAGAAACAATCTCAAAATATAAGGACAAATTAAAAACAAAATTTAGAAACATATTAAAAAATAAGTTTATTATATAAAAACAAACGAGGATATTAATTCTAAAAAGTTGATCTAGTAGATAATTACTTAGCTGACATTGTGCTTAATTACAGAGTAACAAACAAATTATATTATTTTATATGGAGGATGAGCTTGACCTTTTTGGCCAACTGTTGTTCATGCTTCATTAGCGTTGTTTATCTTGCTTGGCATAACTAGCATAGCTCAAACTCAATCCATTCTTGTCAAGAACTTCCCATATCTTGTATCACTAAAATGTGAATTGACCTCCGGTTTTCAAAAGTGACGTCCCTCGAAAAAAACCATCAAATAGTAATGAAAAATAATGATGGATTAACTATCGTCGCTAAATAGAAAGCAATTAACGATAGAATAGCATCCGTTCGAACCAGCAATGGAATAAAGATGGATTAGCAATTGATTAGTGACGGTTCATCGGCAAGGGAAATCATTCCATCGCTAAATTGGGCGGCAAAATGTTCCCAAGGGTTTTAAAGACAAATTAGCGACGGAGTTTTTACGGAGAATAGAGATGAAATTGCAAATCCGTTGCTATTTTCATCGTTTGTAGTCGGCGATGGAATATCCATCACTAAAACTCATATTCCTCACAAATTAGCGACGGATATGTTGAAAAAATTGGACGGACTTTTTGAAAGGCAAAACCGCCAAGTTAGAGATGTGTTGTTAATATGTAAAAAAGGGACTACTAAGTTTCATTAGTTAGCCACTCATTTTTCAATAGAATAATGACAAACACTTATGTCCGTCTCTAAATAGCGATGGATTATTAAGGGAATTGCGTCCATAGTTATTTTTCAATCCCTAATTAAACCATTTTCTTCTCCCTCTCCTTCTTTAGCTCGATAACAACCTAGGTCTCCTCCTTTTCAAACAACCACCAAACTCCACTCCTCCACTCTTAATCAATCCACACCCACTCCACGACTCTTTTCTTCGAAAAAACCCGACAATTTTCCTTCCGTCCTTTTGGTGTAATTCCACCCAAATTAGGTAATTTTTTTCTCTTTTATTTTCTTAATTAAAGTTAGTGATTTGTTATAATTGTTAGGTTAATTTTAATTTTAATTCCTTGATTTATAATTATGTATATATTTAATTATGATTTTGTTAATTTATTTGTTAAATTATTAATTTTTTTAATTGTTACGTTAATTTATTGATTAATTTGCTAAATTCTTAAAATTTGTTAATTATTAGGTTAATTTGTTAATCAATTTGAAATTAAATTTCATCAAAATTGATTTTTAATTAATTGAGTTAATTTTATTTATGTTTAGTTAATTAATTAAGTTAATCATGTTTAATTTGTTGAATTAGAATAAATTTGTTAATTATTTGTAATTTTAAATTTAATTTGGTTAGAATTAAAATTAATTAAGTTAGTTTAATTGGTTGAATATATATATATATATATATATATCTTGTTAATTTATTGTTATTTTAAACTTAATTAGGTTAGAATTAGAATTAATTAGTTTAATTAATTTGTATATAATTATTGAAGTATGTCGAGATATGTTGTAGTGTATCGAACCTAAGAGGTTAGAGACCTCAAGAATTGAGGAGAAATAAGGTTGGTTCAATGCTTTACAATGGGTTTGATACACAACGACATACTTCGATAATTATATACAAAATAATTAAACTAATTAATTCTAATTCTAACTAAATTGAATTTAAAATAATAATAAATTAACAAGTATTATTATAAATAAAGTTATAATTCAACTAATTTAACATAATTAACTAAACATAATCAAATTCACTTAATCAATTCTAATTCTAACCAAATTACATTTAAAATAAAAATTAAATTAACTTAATTAACAAAAATTTTACATTTAATTAAAAAAATTACAATTAATTGAAAACTTTATTCTAATCCAACCAATTAAAAAAATTAATGTAATTAATTAATTTATTAATTAAATATAATTCAAATTTACTTAATTAATTCTAATTCTAACCAAATTAAAATTAAATTAACAATTAAATTAACTTAATTAAAAATAAATTTACATTTAATTAACCAAATTACATATAATTGAAAATTTTATTCTAATCCAATCAATTAAACAAAATTTTCATAATTAATTAATTAAATAAACATAATTCAAATTAACTTAATCAATTCTAATTCTAACCTAATTAAATTCAAAATAACAATTAAATTAACATAATTAACAATAATTTTATATTTAATTAACAAAATTACAATTAATTAAAAATTTTATTCTAATCCAACCAATTAAACAAATTAAACATAATTAATTAACTAAACATAATTCAAATTAACTTAATTAATTCTAATTCTAACCAAACTAAATTCAAAATAACAATTCAATTAACTTAATTAACAAACATTTTCCATATAATTAACTAAACATTAATAAAATAAACTTAATTAATAACAAATTAATTTTGAAAAACTTTAAATTACATTTAATTAATAAATTAGTCTAATAGTTAACAAAATTCAACAATTCAACAAATTAATTAAAAATTAAACTAACAAATTAACAAATATTTAACAAAAAAATCAACAAACTACCAATTATATATATAGTTATAAATCAAGCAATGATACTTAAAATTAACATAAAAATTACAACAAAAGACTAACATTAATTAAGAAAATAAAAGATATTAAAAACTAACCTAATTTGGGTAAAATTGGCTGAAATGAAGAATGAAAACACTAGGTTTTTTTTGGGAGAAACGAGTTTGAAGAGGTTCCGTATTGATAAAGAGTGGATTAAGAGAGTTTTGTGGAGGATTAGAGGGGTTAGGGGCGGCAGCCTAAGGGAGAAAGAGGGAGGAGGAGAAATGGGGGAAAATAAGGGAGGGAGGGGAATTTGCCGGATTTAAAGAAACCCAAATCGGTGATGGGAATGAACCCGTCACGGATTCATCGCTAAATAGCTACGTTTGGTGCATTTTTGAATTTTCAAAGGCTACCCAAATTTTCAACTTTTAACGACGATAATATTCCCTCGCTCATAGTTTGGCCAACATATAGCTTATTCATTAGAATGAAAAACTAAGCAGGAAAAAAATCATGGCATCATTAGCATGCAGCTTGACTATATGAACATAATGTTGCCATCGAAAGAAAAACTAAGCATGAAAAACTCGTAACATGGCTAGATAGACATGGCATTTCCATTAGAAACTAGGCATAAAAAGTCGACAATTTGGCTAGTATGCAACTAAATTAGATGGAATGACATTACTATATAAAAAGAAAAATTAAACATGAAAAGCTCGTGACCTAACCAATACGTAGTTTAGACAAATTTACATGGTATTGCCATCGAAAAAAAAAGAAAGAATAAAAAGGATCAAGACCTAGCCGGTATGTAGCTTAGCCATAAAAAAGAGCTGAGCATGAAGAGTTAACGACCTATAAAAACTCAATATAAAACACCTCACAGTAAGACCGAGTGCATAACTTGGTTAAATAAATATGGCATTACTAAGTGAAAAATTAAGTATGAAAAGTTCACGACTCGACCAACGTGTAGTTTGGCCGGATGAATATGGGTTGTTATAAAAAAATTGAGCATTAAAGCTCATGATATGGATAACACACAGTTTAGCTCGATAAACATTGCATTTTTATTAGAAAGAAAAATTAAATGTGAAAACCTCATGGCTTGGCCGACATGCAACTTAGCCATTAAAAAAAAAAAAAGTTATCGGGAAAAGATCACTACTTAGCTAACGTGTAGCTTAGCTAGATAGATCTAACATTGCCATCGAGAAAAAAAAAAAAACTAAGTATAAAAAACTCATGAATAGAACAACATATAGCTTGACCGAGTGGACATGACGTTGCTATTAAAAACAAAATTTTGAGCATGAAATGCTAATAGCTTGGCTAGTATGTAGTTTCACCAAATAGACATAATGTTGCCATCAAAAAGAAAAAAATTGATCATGTAAAACTCAAGGTTTGGCCAATGTGTAACTTGACCCAATGTACATTGTGATGCCATCGGAGGGAAAAAAAAGCCGAGCTTGGATAGCCGACGAACTAGATGGTATACGGTTTGGCTAGATAGACATAATGTTGCAATAAAAAAAAATTAAGCATTAAAAGCTCATGGCTTGGCCGGTGTGTAACTTGGCCAAGTGGATATAGTGTTGCCATCAAAAAGTAAAAACGAATAAAAAAAGTTCACGACTTGTCCAATACATAGCTTGACCAAATAAACATGGTGTTGGCATCAAAAAGAAAAATTAAGCATGAAAAGCTCACGACTCGTGGAGAGGTTTTAAGAACTAACCAATGAGTCGATTGATAGACCGGTCGGAAACAAAGAGCTAGTGTTGTGACTTATAAAAAAATAATTAACCAACTAAGTAGAATAGATGCAAGTAGTGAGAAACGTGTAAGGACAAGTAAGTAGTGTTAGTAAGACACAAGTCGAGTGGCTAGTAGGTCGAGTGAATCAAAATCTAAATGGATAGTGCTTTACATATTTTATAATATGTGAGTGAAAGATTTTTGAGAGAGAGAGTTTAGAAATTTTTATTAGAGATCAAAATGATAGAAGCCCCTCACAATGACGTGAAGTTGATATTTATAAGGAATTAAATATGATCCTTAACTATTAGGATTATGTCGAATAATTCATGTTTGAATAGTCAAATTTGTATTGAAAAAAGTTGAATTCTTTTATGCCAAATTACTTAAAATTGCTAGAAAAAGTTAAAAAAAAAAAGAGTAACAATTAGGTGTTTTTTTTTAGGAGACTCTACTCACGACCCACCAAGTTAATCTCTTTAAGATATCTAAAAAATAAAGCATGAAAATTGATCTTGTTAGAATACTAGTGTCTATCTTTACACGGCCTAAAAGCCTTGTGATTATCGAGGTCTATCTTCAATCTAATCCATTTGTTGTACAGCTTGGATTATGCTAAAAAAAAAAAAACATAGATTAGTATATAATAAAATTAACTAAATTCGTAATTAATTTTTATGGATAAATTGATTATATACATCATCTTAAGTTTGTTGCTGGTAATTTTTTTTTTTATTTTAAGCCCTTTTATTTAACCAAAAAAAAAAAAAGAAATAAAAGAAATAAATAAATCCTAATAAGATATGTCTAATATTTATGTTCTTAATGCACAAGTTAAGAAGATAGTCTTTTTTGTGTTTTTACTGTTGTATAAAAAACTCAGAGGTGGGTAATTCGGGAGTAGATAATAATATAAAATAATTTAAAATTTTCTAGCCATCAATATGAGTTTTAGCTTTTAAGGGTACGTTCTAGACATTCCCATCCTAGTAACCCGAATTTAGAGCCGGATTGAGATCGTATTTCTGCTGTAAATTTTCACCGAGTTTCTTTTTGGGTTGCGTACATTGATCCCGGCCCCATTTTGTTTATTTAGATGCTGATCTCTGACAAAGTTCTGCAGGTGTGCAGTTCTGATCCAATGCACTTGGAATCCGTGCTCCCATCTCTTGAAACAAACCGTTTTTTATCGTATATGAAGGAATCAATTTAAAAAAAAAGGGCAAATGCTTCCATGTCATTCTTTGAAATGAAATTTTGATGGCTCATCTACAGGAAAGCCGGAAAACTCAGTAATTGGTGAAATTTTGAGAGATTCTAATGATCAATTTCCATGAAGTTGGATAGGTGTTCATTTTATCTTCGCCGAGTAGTCTGAGTTATTGGGTCGGATTCCATGAAGGTTATTCACTGGGTAACCAAGTAAGCAAGCTGTTGCTATAACATGAAGATTGTAACACGAATTTAATTAGTATCATTATCGATTTTCATTTTTTTTTAAAAAAAGGAGAAGATATTTTGAATTATAGAAATCTTAAAAAATTTTACTCTAGGATGGCAGTAGTGAACTTTTATAATCTAAAGAGGTTTTCAAATTCAAAATTTAAAATTTTTATTACGGTTAAGTTTCAAGAATTCAGAAATCTCATTGTATTAAAATAATACAATTATTGTAATTTTGAGTAATTTCAAGGGTTATGTTTGGTGCTTAAGAAATTTTATTTACTTTGAAAATTATTTGAAGAAAAAATTTATTTTTAATTGACATGCAAGCTACTCAGATAATACCTTTTATAATAACTTTTTTTTGAAAAAAACTCAATTTTTAAGCCTCGAACACCTTAAACACCAATTATTGGTGATTTTTTTCTCTATAAATGCCTAACATTGCATGCAAATATATTAGCAATGAATTAGGAAGTTTATAGATTCAAAAGTTTTAAATTAAAATATCTTCAGAAAACATCTTCTTAGAAAAGCTTCCAAAATAATTTCTCCAGGACTCAAAAAGCTCCTCAAGATATCAAACCTAAAACTAAGCTACCCACTGGGCCAACCTTTAGCCGATGTGAGAGTCCATACTTGAACCACAGCCGGAGTCCAATTTGCTCATGTTGGGCTTCGAATCTCTAAAAACTGTTCAAGCCTACTTCATTCTTTAATCTTCAAGACCATGCCATCAATATGCTGCTAGGGTTCATGCATTGAATCAAACTATGAAAGCCAACTTCCTTTCAATTCATGCCACCGAAAAAAGATGTTATCACCTATTAATAGTTAATGGACCACACCATCGTAATGTATAAAGGCTTGACATGCTCGAGTAAATTAACTGACTTGATAATTATGCACCTTTAATGTACTACTCCACGCTCACACAAACTGTCTCATCATGCATTGCCCTTTTCTAATGGACCATGCTATCTATATAAGCAAAAGCCTAGCTAGGCATGCTTCAGTTTCTCATGCATAAAACCTAGACATGCTTGAAAAAGGCTTGCGTCCATCATGAGTTAAACTGCAACGCAAGTTTACTTATGGCAGATCGATCGTGCAAATCTAATATATATATATATATATATATATATCTCAAAGTACTACCATATATCAAATATTGTCCTGTCCCTTAGCTGCTATTAGAGGCACAGAAGACCTATCTATCGACAAAGTAGAGGAGTCAGCCATATTGTACCTACGTAATTTATATCCGACATGTTATTGGTTGACTGTATTCTTCATCATCTCATTTATCTCCTAAAACTATGGTTATATGACTCATGAACTTGTCATTGTTATGCCACAAAACTAAGTTTATGGGGTACCGTATTTTCACGCATGTCATTAACCTCTTTTTTTGTTTTGCTTTCTTCTTCTTCTTATTTTTTTTTCCCTTAAAAACATAAAACAGAATGGGGATCTCCAAGTAACATTATTCTACATAACGTGTCCCAAATTTCCAAATTCTACTCCGTTCTTTTGAAAAATTGATGATTTTTTTTTTCAATGCAACTATTAAGTTCGCAAAATCCATATCTCAAATTGAGAAATTTGGCATTCTATCGTAAATCAATTGAGTTGGATTAGCGGTTTTAAAGACTCTTGAACATAACATAGACTTGTAGTTGTACTTGTCTACATAAAAAGTACACCGATTAATAAGTTAGAAAGTAATATAAAACTATTCCTAAAACCTCACATAATAGTTTAATTCCCGACCCAAATACTCGATGCTTATGAATTTTTTTTATAGTATGATAAGTGTTAAATGTTACCTCCGATTGATAATATTATAGATGACTTAACACCCTTTTAAATGAATTAGTTTTTTATGATAAAAATAATTGATGAGTGTTTTATTTATAGAGAAAAAAAAATTATCAATTTCATCTCTTTATAAGCTGTCAAATGACTATCTCACTCAAAAACTTAAGTTATTATGTGAGGCATCAAAACATGATTTATATAACACACCTTTTTAATTGAAAACCCTTTAGGCTTGAAATTTACCCGGACCCACACTACCTTGTGCTTAATTAATTAGAAGAGGATGGTAGGATTCGAACTTGCAATTGTTTAGTCATCAAGGCTTTGATATCATGTCAAATGATCATCTCACATAAAAACTTAAGCTATTAGGTGAGGCAACAAGATATGTTATATAATTGTCTAACAATAATTTCAATTAAGTCCTCCAAGAATTTTTTTAACAATGTCATTTTGTTAGAGAACTTATTTGGCCATAATGAATAGTTAAATCAAAAGTGACTAACATATAAAGTCAAGAAAAGACAATCACCATAAGACTTAAGTCTTTTGAATGAAATTCAATCTTAACTATCTAATTCTATATGGTTTTAAAGCACGAAAAAGATCCAATGGTGCGGTAAAGATCCTAAAACTCAACCCACTTAATAGACATAAAAGTTAGGTTGCAAGTGAGAAAGAGTATTAAAGAATATTAAAACAAGCTTCTACTACTCGTGCATTCCTCTTCCCCAACAACTCCTAGTATCACCATGAATATTCATGTTGCTACTACTTGTAATGTGCACTCTTGTTGCTGCTACCACCATATCATCATCTCCTTCTCCAAGAACTATTGCGGACATAACTCCAATTTCTCCTACACATATCCAATAACTAGATAAATACATAAGTTAGATATTGTTCTTATCTCCTACTCGGGTGCACTCCTTTACACTTATCTATCGTAACAAATTCTATCTATAAAATAGAGTTTCACAAGTTATGATATATGTGTGAAAATATTCTAAAAGTTAAGACCCTCTTTTAGCATTTTAAGTTGGTATCAAAGCTATAAAGACATTACTGCCATCCTTCCTCTCTACAACTATTCCTTTTTTTTTCTCTCCTTCCCACACACCACTGTTGCGTCTCTCCTCATCTTTTCCGTTTCAAAACACTAAGATGGCCACTTCTAGCAATACTTCTTCTCCCACCATTGTTACTACAAACCAAAACACCCACTTATTCCATTAACCTCGTTAAATAACTCTCACCACTTTCTCTCTCTAAAATTAACACAAACTAATTTTCTCCTCGTAAGTGTGTACAACTGAAACCTTTCCTTATTGGGTAAGGTCTATATGGATTTATTGATGGATCACACCTATGCCCTCTTAGTCATTTTTCTACTCGTTGAATCAAATATCTCACATGTGAACCCTTCTCACCTTGCCTAGATCCAACAAGATCGGCTTCTTATAGGCATCATTATCTCCTCTCTTTCTCTTGATATTCTTCCAATGATTATTGCCTATATAACTTCCCGGGAAGTCCGGTCTATGCTTGAGCAAGCTTTTGCTTCTTTTTCTAGCACCCAAATCATGTCATTACATCATTGCTTTGCAAAAAATTCACCAAGAGTCCATTGAATCATTGTTGTAATTTCTCCATCGTGCTAAAACTTACAATGATGAACTATTTACGACTAATAGACCTCTCTCCTTTATTGACTTCGACCTCTATGTCTTTAAAGGACTTTCTAAAAAATTTAAAGATATAATCACCTCTTACTAGCACATTCACTAATCTTTATAGCTTTCTTGTTAGCATGAGTTCTTAAAATGTGATACTTTCTCTAATTACTCCTTAACAACAAGTTTAGGTTTATTACCCACTCCACCTTCGCCAACCTCGTTCATAAGGCAACTAGCACCTATTCGACTACCATAGTGCCTACAATCGTAGTAGAGGTAGGCTCTTTCGAGGGTGAGGAAGTGGCATATTTAACAACAAGTATGAAAACTATGCAACCTTTGAAAGTAAAAGACTTTGACATCAATATGATTAGTGCATCAAGTGCCAAATTTGCTATTCCTAGAACCATATTCGTTGTCCACTACCCTCGAAGGTAGTTTGCTCCTTTTCATCGTTCAATAAATATCTCAACTATGTCATCCTCCACCTGTTCTGCACCTTCGGTGTTCTAACATTGGTGCCTCTCACCATTTGACACTTGGTTTATCAAGCTTCGGTACCTATGAACCACATCAAAGACCCAATCATGTTCGAGTTGGCAATGGTGAGTTTTTTCTAATTCGGTATATTGATTCCTGTCATATTAAAACACCAACCAAAACTTTACAATTTCTTAATGTTCTACATGTTTCCCAAATACTAAACCATTACTTTTTGTTAAAAATTAACATATGATAATAATATATTTTAGGAGTTTCACCCTTTTATTTTTTTCCTAAAGGATCATGAACACGGGACAATAATTTTTTCGAGCTAGAGTGATGCTGATCTATATAATTTAACTCTTTCATTCAGTCAATTTTGTCCCCAAGTCCACTCTGTCATTGTCTTTGTAAATGTTTGGCATTCGAATTAGGTCATCTTTACAACAAAGTACTAAATTCTATTTTGAAAAGACATTCATTATCTACCTCTTCTAAATTATCTAGATTTTCCATATATTTTCCTTTAGGGAAAGCAAGTTGTCTATCTCTATCTTCTTCCAAAAATGGGTTTTTTAAATTTAATTTTTAATGATGTATGAGATCCTTCACCTACTTATGTCTCTTGAATGTCATAAATAGTATGTAATATTTATTGATCATTATTCAAAATAAATAAGGTATTTTTCCTTATAAAAAAATTTGATGTGTTTGACACTTTCATTAAATTTCAAAAAATGGTTAAGTGTTTATTTAATTGTCAAATAAAACAAGTACAAGCTGATTGGTGTGGTAAATTTTATACTTTAAATAAAATTTTTAGATCCATTAGTATTACCCACCGTATCATATGCCCTCATACACATGAGCAAAATGGGATAGTAGAAAGGTGACACCATTATATTATGGAAATTGAATTCACCTTACTTACTGAAGCAAGTGTTCCTAAAAAATATTGGCATTATGCTTTTGAAATAATAATTTTTCTCATTAATCGTCTACCATCAAATGTTACCATAAATAAATCTCATTTTCAAATTGTTGCTACTCGACATCAAATGGGACTCCCTAAAAATAAACTTACGTGTTAATTATTATTACGAGTTTAGAGTCGCCACCTAGTATTGGAGGAACTAGAAATCTAAAAATATGTACTAGTTCAAAGATTCTATGGCAAGGAGTTGGTTACACTTTTAGAAAGATATTTAATCACCTAAAAGGGTCATTTTCGAAAAAAGGTACCACGTCTAATTTAGTTCTAAATTCATCTCTTAAAATATTTTATTTATGTCAAATTATTTTCCGATTTTAAACTCATATTTATTTTAACAACAAATTGAATTTTTTAATTTTAGGCGTGACATCGTATTGAAACGATCGTCAATCCCCTTCGTTGGGTGACATGTTGGTTCAAACATCGGATCTACTTTAAGCCTTAACACAATCGATGTGTCGGAGGATATCTCGATTAAACAATGATTTTTGGTGATGTTAGTCACTATCGGATAGGAGACTTCGTAAAATATTTTAGATTTTTTTTGGTGACGTCGGTCCCTATCGAGTAGGAGACTTTGCCAAAAATTTTAGATATTTTTTTAATCTAGTAACATAAAAAAAGAAGGAAAATATCAACTCAAAATTATTGCAAGAAAACGTGATAAGAAATAAAAATAATCAAGCTAAACACAAATAAGAGAAATAGATAAATAAATAAATTCAAATCATTTTGGACCAAATCCATTAACCCACAACTTATTTCTCTCTTACCCATTTCCTTTATTTTATTTCCTTTATTTATTTTTTGAAGAGTAAAGGGCACGAGCCGGACCGAAGTTAGTCCAACCCCCGTTTTTTTGTTAAGAGAGGTATGGATTAGGTTGGACTAATGGCGAGTCCATCCCCTTGCTTCTTTTTTTTTTTTTTATCCCGACTAGACCTCAAACAAGAAACAAACCCATTTTCTTTCCTTTTTTGATCAAAACACGGACTTTAAGCCCATGACCCTCTCTCTCTCCTATTCTTCATTTTTTTCATTTTCACCCTCCAATTCCCAGTTTTCCAAAAAAATTGAAGACCCTATTTCGGATGAATGATTGCTAACATATGATGTTTACACTCTTGTTTCCACCACAAGCAAAAATTAATACTTAAACAAGTATTTGGAATTGCAAGCCATTAAATCAAAGCTGGAAAAAAAATAAAACAAAAAGAAAAAGAATAGACTTTGTGTGCTTAGATTTGTGATTCGTTGTCTTGAAAGGATGCAAATTGAAACTTAAAAATGGTTCCAAGAGGTTAAAAAAAACCTTCTATTGGTTTCGATATGCCCAAATGAGAATCAAAACAAAAATTTTATCCTGTAGTTGAAGCCAAATGAACTTCGACCTAGAAAGTTGAAGTACACGAACCCGGATGTACGAAGAACTTCAAATTGCTGCCCAGAACTCCAAAAGAGAAAACTCAAAAATGGAAGAATTGAACCCTAAAATTTAATAAAGGTGGTTGAGAAACACTTGAGGATGGAAAAATAGTCTAAAAAAGCCAAAACAAAACATTGGAAAGGCTAACGGTCGAAGAACACAAACCTAGAAAATAATAACACCAAGCCACTGTCCGTAAATTCCCCGGAAAAACACGAGAGCCACAATACCAAAAATCCCTCAAAATTTTTTTCTCTATTCTTAACTCCCTCTCAAACCCATATTTCTCCTCCAATTCCTCTCCCTTTTTTGTGTGGAATTAGACCCCTTATATAGCTAAAAACTTCCTCGAATTTCTCCTAGAATCAAATCTCGGTCTCAAAATTTCTATCAAAAAGTCTTCTCTTTAATTTGGTTAGCTAATCAACAAAGAAAGGGGATTGATGGCTACGTGATCCTTTGTCAAAATTAATTCAATTAAGAATCATGATAAATGCAAAATCAAAACAGGAAATTGATGAAAGATTTGGTAGATTTTTTGAAAGAGTTTCGGAGAGAATCGCATTGGAGTGAATGAATTGGAGTGAATGACAAGTCATCCTCTCCATTGCAAACCTATCATTCGCTCTAAAATTTTAGTTTGCTCATCATGAGCTTCAATTATCAGCAATCATGCCACTTGTATGGTATAATTTCGGTCTTTATAAAGTACAATCTTATCAATTGGGTCCCTGTAAGGTGTAATTTGGGTTTTGAATTTCCTAATTAGTTCGATTAAATACCTAATTATCTCAATTATACCTTACTTTAAATGCAATCGTGCCCTTGAATGAATGTTTTTTATGTTTTTCATAATGTTTTTTATTTTTTTGGTTTTTTTTTATAGTAAACTCCAATGTGAAATAAGAAAAAAACAAAAAAAAAACATAAATAAAATTAACCAAATAAAAATTAAAAAAATGAGTAAATTTTGGGTTATTACACATCATATTTTCCAAAAATCCAAATTGTTCCTTTCTAAAAATTTTTGGTTGTCTCCACTATCCTTTTTTACACCCCTATAATAAACACTGAAAATGGATTTTTGGTCAACTCTATGTATTTTTCTTGGATATATTCCATCTCAATTGGGTTATTGATGTCTTGATAGAAAAACCAATTGAACTTGTATTGCCAACTATGTTCGTTTCATTAAGACCATTTTTCCATTTGCTTGAAACAAAACAATCCATTAGTGCTACTTGTCCAAAATGCTACTTCTCTATCCCGTAGGCATGTCTACCAATTCAAAATCACTTTGTTTCTTATGTAGGTCGGCATTACTTTGTGCCTACCTTTGTTCCTATGTCACCAAACCAAAACACTAACCATTTTCCATGTTAGGACACTACACCTAAAGAGCCATAATAAATTAGTAACCTAAGTCCCTCATCATAACCGGACACATTAAAAAAACTACCAAGCCCATTCACCCCACAACTCGTGCCACATATCCCAACCAATCAGCCTTCACTTCAAATAGCCTCACTTAACGACCCATCACCTGTCACATCCTTATATAGGCCTACGGCCCAAAACCCATTCAACCTACAACTCATGCCTTATAACCCAACCAGTTAGCCTTCACTTCGAATAGCCTCATCCAAAAGCCCACCACCTCTCACATCTTTATATAGACCCACAACCCAACAACCACTCGGCCCACGATACGTGCCCACTACATCAACACAATTTGTGATCCCTAATCCAGCCCAAAGCCTATCGTTAACCCGATCTGCATCCACTAAATATAAATATCACACGCTGCTTATCTTCCTCACCTCATAGTCACACACCTAAAACTCTTTCTCTCTTTCATTTACCTATTTCTTCTTCACACTCAAAATGCCCCGTTACCTCTCTAGTTGTAGCTTCATCAACCTTACTAAGTAGCTTGAATCTAGTTTTAGATTTTAGCCATTATGCTTTGGATAAATAAAAAACCCATTCCTTTACAATTGCAACCTTCGAACCCGTCTCATGCTATTACGTTACATGACCAAGACCACTAAACCGAATGCCTCTTTTGCCATTACTCAACCCATAGTTTCGAGTCTCCTTCTTGTTTCTCTTAAGCATGCAAGCACTTACCTTGGCGAATAACCATAGCAATTGAAATTTCAGCCCCACTCCATACGAGTACTTACTTTTTGGTACCTCGATCTCCTTTTATAAACATCATTGGTAATAAATGGGTATTCGAAGACCAATAAAAGGGTAGATGAAAGCTTTGAGTGACATAAAGTAAGGTTGGTTGCAAAGGGGTATAACCAATAGGAGGGAGTAGATTATGAAAAAACTTTTAGCCTAATGGTTAAACCCATAACAAGTTCGTTATATTACATCCCTTGCTATATTTGATAGTTGGATGATTTGATAGTTGGATGTCAACAACCCTTTTCTCAATGGTACTCTATATGAATCGATCTATAACTTAACCTCCTAGTTTTATGGATGCCAATTATCCTAACCATGTATGTAAATTGTATAAATCCCTCTATAGGCTCAAACAATCCCTCGAGCACGGTTCTTATGCCTTATTAATTTTTTGATTAATTTTGGTTTTGTTAGTTCTAAAACGAGATAGCTTACTCTTCATTTACAACTTTACTAAATATAGAGTTTTTCTCCTTATTTATGTTCACGATATTATCATTACGGGGAATGATCCATTGTTCCTTCAACTCATCATTCGGACTATGAACTCTAGATTTTCCATAGGAGATCTTGACTATATAGGTTTTTTTTTTTTAAAGAATTGAGGTAATACAAACCAAGAATGGTATCCTATTGTCCGAGTAGAAATATATTCTTGATTTATTAGCCAAGCATGGCATGATGAATTGTAAACCAGCCTCTACTCCTATGCCTACCACTTCCAAGTTGACAAAGATTCTACTTTTACATTTGAAGATGTTAATCTATACCAACGAGTGGTTGGGGCCCTTCGATATGCTACCTTAACCAAACCAAATATTATTGTCAACAAAGTTCATTAGTTAATGCATGCTCCTACAATCGACCATTAGATTGCTACCAAACGAATTCTCCGATATCTTAAGCACACGATAACTCTTAGTCCGCACCTTTGCAAACATATGTTTTGTACCCTTGCTGGTTTGTCAAACTCTAATTGGGTAGGCTATTTGGATGATAGAAAATCTATAGATGGCTACGCTGTTTACATTGGTTTGAATTTAATATCTTGGAAATCTAAAAGACTATTGCTAAAAGCTCCACGAAGTAGAGTACAAAGCGAGTTGTTGATCTTACTACTGAAAGGACTTAAGTCACTTCCTTTCTTAGCAAACTTGGGGAGGTATTACCTTCAAAATTGATAATCCGGTGTGATAATATTAAGGTTACATATCTAATAATCAATCGATTATTTCATGCATGGACAAATCACATCAAAATTGATTTTTATTTTGTTAAAGACATGGTTTCAAGGGGAGTCTTCGATTCTTTTCATCTTTAGTCAAGATCGGATAGTTGACATTCTTACCAAACCTCTATCAACTCCACGGTTATTGTTTCTACGTAACAAACTCTCCGTGGGTGAAAGACCACATTCAATTTGTAACACCCCCAACCTAGGACCTAAAAGGTTGAGAATATTATCGCCGTTAACCCACATTCAAAGTGCAATAAATGCAAGCTAACAAAGTATCGTGACTTAATCTTCATGTCTAAAGTGAAATCTATGTTTTAAAAATCTAATATTAGCCGGGTAGGTCCTATATTTTAACTTAAAAAATGTTATAAATTTTTCGCGTTTGATAGATTTACTCGGATACTTGAAACTTGGATTTGAGGTCATTTGCTAGTTCAAATCCTTTCTTTACTAACTAGTATAATTCATTGAGATGTAATTCCTTATTATTAATTATTATTATATTACTTATTCTCTTTCATTTTTACTATTCTTTTTATTTAACGATTAATTAAGAAATTCTCCCGAATATTCAAGGATGCTAGCATGCAATGGGCAATTTAAAGTAACTATACTACTATCGGTACATTATCATTTTACTATCGGTATTACGGTTCATACGAGTTACTAATTTATATACAAAACAAAGTATGTCCACCTAGATCCCGAAGCCCCATCTAAGGTATAACCGTCCGGTGCACTCCTCGAAATTAGCTCGCAGAGAAGTAAGCCATAGTATCTTATTAATATACACCACAAGGAACTATATGAGCTACAACTCGGTAAGTTAACGTATGCATGTAGTGTACGTGCATGTATAAAATACCGATATATGCATAATAAATCCTTTTTCTCATGTTATAAACCATTTCATAAATAGTCTGAAAATTCTTTTTCTATCTCCGGACATGTCCCATTTAGGTACTTCGGAGTTTCCATAACATATGTCCGGCGAACGAACCGGACCCATCCACGGACGCACCCTACCGAGCCTCTAAAAGTGCACATCCGCACTTGCCCAATCCCGAACCATTGCCATTACCATATGGAAAACTCATGAAGCCCATCCTCATAAAATCCTCAAAGTCATGAAAATCTTTTTCTTTAAAATACTTATGATCGCTATCGAAAACTTATAGCATAAAATACATTTTCATGACTTAAAACATTATTCATGAGCTTTGGCATGCATTTTCATTTTGAATGACAATGCATGCTAATAATGATACTCAAGTACATGTTCTAAATGGTCGTGTAACCATGTTATGAAAACACGAATAAAATTGGACAGACATAACGACATAAATAACATCAATCCGTATCTACCAGGTAGAATCATAAATGGTGCGTTAGTTACCACAACCACAATTCTCATTACCAATCACAACTCAAGCATAACCATCATTCATTAATCATGGCATCACATAAATTATTAGAAAGAAAATAAAATCATAATACAAGAGTAAGCAAACAATTATATTTCGTTTTAGTTCCATTGATTTACTTTATATTTTAGCATTTCTAAGTTATTTCTCTTATGCTCCTAACTACCCTTTCGCATCTAACATTTACCAAATTAGGTACTAATTCATGCTCTAACTTAATTAAGTATTATTCCATTGATTACGTAGTCCAATTTTGGTTTGGGCCTTAATGGGCCTAAGGTCTAATTTTTCCTAAATCAATTTTTCTTTAGATTTTCATGAACACTTTTATTCTAAACCATCCTTTTATATTATCTTGAGCATGAATAAACTAATTTAGGGCATGGAACTTAATGAGTAACTTTTAAGTGATTAATAAATTACATGGGTAGAGACACACGTGTGTGAGAGGCCATGTAACTCTCTGCCTTCGAGAAAAACACATTTCTTTATTACATGGGCAAGGAAACACCCATGTGGGAGGCCGTGTAACTCTCCGCCTTCAAGAAAAATACATTTCTTCATTACACGGGCAAGGACACACCCTTATGGGAGGCCGTGTAACTCTCCGACTTCAAGAAAAACACATTTCTTTATTACACATTTTCTTCAATTTTTAGTAAATTTTCCATTTTTGCTCATCAAAACATGCTTATTCAAGTGTGAACGACCCATCAAACCAGAATCAATTTGCTTTGAGCTTAACCCCTAATTTGATTAGTTTAGGCCAAATATAATTTCTAACAATTAGTGATTTTTTCTTCAATTAAAGTATAATTTTTCATTCCTAAACATTAATTCATACTCGAAATAAGTCAGAATCAAGTGCCAAAAAACCAATTAAATGAAAGAATTCAAAACCCCAAAATTTGATTCATTAAGAACCCTAACCCTAATTTTTATCAATTGAGCAATTAAATCAAATCAAGTAATTAAATATGAAATTAACTTAAAATTAAGCATGCTTGTGGTGTAGGTGAGGTTAACTTACATGATTAAGCTCCAAATTAACTTTAAAAAGGTAGGTTGCTTGAAAATCCTCTTCCTCCCATTTTTTCCTCCTAAACTTGAATTAGCTCTTTTACTTTTCTTCTTGAAGGTATTCAGCTCCCAACTAGAAATTAAAGCTTAATCCACTCGATTTAGAGGGTCTAAAATTGGTTACGATTATTTTGGGTAATTTTTGAGTGGAAATTTTGTAAGAGTTTCCTTTGTGTTTTTTCAATTTTTCCTCCCCTTTTTATTTTTCCAGCAACCCTATTTATATGAAATTTTGTGGAATTATTGATCTCATCTTCACCTTTAATGTGGAAAAATCTCAACCCTTAATTCAATTTCCAATCATTCATTTGGATTTGTCCCATTTTTTGGCCATTTATTCATCTTTTTATTTAACCCTTCCACCTTGCTTATTTTTGGCCATAATTTTTACTGGAAGTCAGACTTAATTAATTCTCTAGGTTCAGCTAGAGTTGGAAGGAAAATGACAAATTTTGATCCTCCAAGTTTCTAGACTTTTCCATAGCCTATTCTTTCCTAAATCCCTCTTTTATGCAAAAAACTCACTTCTAATCCTCCCCTTTCCGTTTCTATGACTAGTTTTTTACCCTTAACATTCTTAAATAATTTAATTTGAATTATTAAACTTTTAATTTTATGCAATTGAGTCCCTACTTTTAAAATTCCGTACTATACTCTTCAAAAATCCAATTTATTTTCATAATCAATTCAAATATTTATTAAGGGATTTTATTTTAAATTTTCATAATTTTTGGACCTCATTTGAGCCTCTAAATTAATTATTTAGTGTGAAAATCATACCATTTTCTATTAAAAATATTTCCTATACTTAATAAAATTAATTTAAATTTTCTAGGAACTCTCACACCTCCCATATGATTATTATATGCTCTTAAAAAAAATTCCTCATACTCTTAAGGTGCCTAATTAAATTCTTTTCCTCTAAAAATACTATTCCAACACATCAAAATTCAAATAAAATGTTCATAGCACATAATAAAATTCACCCAAGTACATAAAATAATTCAACATCCCTCTAACAATTATTCTAAGCACACAAACTATTTTTCATGCTTAAACAACATGCTTTAATTAGTTATTTCATGCAAAAACTACTATTCATGCATCGTAAAAATCAATAAAATATTCATTGAGTATAAAATGACTATTTTATCTACTTTGAATATTTTCTTTAATCTTTGTGAACTACTTTATATCTTCAAAATATATCTCATATGTTTTTAAATATTTACTTTTTATTTAATTTTAGTTTTAGCGAGTACCGGCTATTACATAGTTTGTCTTTGAAGTGTTAAAACATTGTTCTATTACTGTTCATTCCTTTTCTCTAAAGACTACTAGTATCACCATGAATACTCTTGTTGATGCTATTGCCGTGTGCACTCCTGCTGCTACTATTGCTTGTATCATCATCTCCTTCTCCAAGAGCTACTATAGCTATATCACCAAAGTCTCCCGCACATATTCAACAACTAGATAAATACATAAGTTAGACAATGTTCTTATCTTCTACTCTCGTACACTCATTTATACTTATCTATCGTAATTAACTCTGTCTATAAAACAGAGTTTCACAAATTATAATATACGTGTAAAACTATTACGCAAGTTAAGACTCTCTCCTGGCACTTTAAGTGAGAATATATCCCATATTAAATAGTTAAATAAAAAATAATTAATATATAAAATTAAGAAGGGGTTATTCACCATAAGATTTAAATTTTTTGGGTAAAACTCATTTTCAATTATCCAACTCTATATATTTTAATATTATCCGGAATACTTCAATGTTGTCCAGTTAAGGTGAGAAGATATTTGGCCTTTGGGTAGTATACTTCTTACAAAATTTTCCTTGAAGACCCAATTGAAATCACTACTTTAACTGGGGAATTTTGTTGTCCGTTCAAGATGAGATGATATTTGTAGTTTTTGCTAGTTTTGGTACAGTTCGAAATTAGACTTTCTCATTAACGAGGAAGACACCAATGTCAATCAGTGGTTCTTGATTCGAGGGTCTGGCTGGTAGTTTAAATTGTTCTAACTCATGGTATTGCTACGGCATACGAGCTAGTAAAAATTAGAGTAAGGAAGGGCAAGCAGCAGGAAGCCACAGTTTTAAATATATAATTATGAAGAGTTAATTAATTTAAGGCCCTGATCTAACACTTAAATTTCCCACTGCTCTAAAAGGAGGCTTGACATCAAATTTCTGAAGTCAACCTCATCTTTGCGTGTAAGTTGTAACCATGGACGAATGTCAATGGTGTCATTTTAAACCATCTTAGCTTTTAGCTTAGAATATACTTCTCTCTCTCTTTTTTAACAGTTACTAGAATATACTCGCCCGCTGGAGGTAAATGTGCTTATAGCAGCTAATATCTAGGCATGGTAGGTTTAGGGTTCCGGACATTAGCTCCGTAGAGTACTCTTTACAGGGAGCTAGCTAGCTAGCAAGCTAGCACACATATCAAATTCGTAAGTTCCATTTAATCCCATAATATATTTGTCACCTCAGTAATTGATTAATTCACTTACTTTCATTTATTTCGTACATGAGTGCTTGCTAGGCTTTAGTGCACAAAAATTGGCTTTTGACTCACTACTCTATAGAAACAAAGTTGTCGCAATAATTAAGCAATAATGATATATCCAATTCCAATAAGGACAAAAGGGCAACCAACCATCAACTCAAATTGAATCATTCCATCATTATGACCAAGGGATTTGCATCATATCTTCAAGGTAAGTGCGAGGTAGCTGCATGCATCCAGACCATGCATTGAGACAGATATTGACACTAGCTACCCGCAAGAAATAAATTTAATTTATAATTAAAGAAAGAAAGAGAGAATACATAGATATGGCAAGAGAGGGAGGATAATTCCAAAATGAGGATCAGTAGCTGTTTTAGCATGCAAAAGTGTAACATCATTCTAGCTATGCCACGACCCATACTCATATGTTAACCTAAATGAAGGACGACCATATAGTATAATCAAACAAAGAAACAAAAATATGTATTGATCTATGAAATACACGTGAATGGACAACTAGCTAGGAGTAGAGGGGATTGTTATAAGAAATGTGGTGAGCATTTGAGGTTAGAAGAAAGAGGGTACAAAATAAGAGACAATTCATGACCTATATATTAATTTCCGTACGACAATATAAATGTACAAATACAGAGAAAGAGAGACATCATAAAGGGTTGCTAGGTTAAGAGAGAAAATGTAGACAAAGAAAAGGGTGAGGAAGGCAGAAGGAGGAGAGGGCAGTTCGGATTTAGAATAAGTGTGAAAGGCACGAGACGTAAGGAGAACAATAAATGAGAGGTAAAGAAAGGGTGATGAGGCTTATGATAACCCTCATGATCGTCACGTCGTTTTTCATTTGCTACTCCCGAGAATCCTCCCAGAATTCCACGCTTCCCTTACTCTTCTCCTTCGTCTCTCTCTCTCTCTCTCTCAACCTTTTTTGCTTTTGTCCTCTCCTCTCCGCTCCTCTTACGGCTACTATAGTCTATATATGATACAGTATCCTTTCTCACACTTAAAAACACAAAACTTGTCTTTCTATTTCTCACTCTAGCTAAAATATAGCCTAGTCAACTTCATGTCTTGCCCTCACTTTCGTTTTTGTTCCATAATAAACCAACACATATAACACCCATTTTTTTCCCTATCTCTTTGTAGACGTAGATTTAGATGTAGATGTGTAGTGATCAATCCCCATCTCTTTAAATTCCTGAAACTCAAATTCTGCTTCAATAGTAATATTATTATTTAAAAGAAAAAAATAATAATTACCACTTCTCCATTTCTTGCTCAGCAGCTGATCCCAACATTTTCAACTAGGGCAATACCTTTTACTATATATGGACAACATCTATTACCTATGTTGTAAAGGTAGGGGCAACATTTTTTGAGTACTCACCTCTAGCTAGTTAGACCATTCCAATTCACTTGCATGCTCCTTTCCTGTTCCTGCTAAACCAAGACCATTCCTTTCAGCCCCATCATTTCAACACACATTTCCCTCTGAGGAAAACAGTAGTGGGAGGGATCCATAAAAGAATCTACTTTAGTACTTCTCTTCTTCTGGTTTCACTACTATCCAGTTCTGTTGCTAAGACTTTCCATTCACTTCCCTTTGACCCTTCTCTTATTTGTCCTTCAAGCTTTTTCATAAGAAAATGTGGATGATGGGTTATAATGATGGTGGTGACTTCAACGTACCAGATTCTTTCAATGGCAGCAGGAAGCTTAGGCCTCTAGTTCCAAGGCCAATACCCTCTACAAACAACACTTCAACTGCCTCTAGTCCCCCTTGCCTTGGCAGCCGTCTTCATAGCACCGATTTCTTTGCACTAAATCAGTATCACCTGGGTATGCATCTTTCTTTTCCTCTTTCTGTCTCTCTCTCTCTCTCTTCAGGTGCGAGTTCCTAATTGAACGTGCAATAAATTATTAATGTTCTTCATGTTTGCTTTTGCAGCAAGTATGGCTGATCAAAGCAAAAGAGATTTCAACACACAGCCAGTGGTAATGAGCTCGAGATGGAATCCGACACCAGAACAGTTAAGAACTCTGGAAGATTTGTATCGAAGAGGGACCAGAACACCATCAACCGACCAAATTCAAGACATAACTGCACAGCTTCGTAGATATGGAAGGATTGAAGGAAAGAATGTGTTTTACTGGTTTCAAAACCACAAGGCAAGAGAACGGCAAAAGCGTCGACGTCAAATGGAATCTGATTCTCTTGATGATCATCAGCAACATGGACATGGTATGGAAATGTTTGAAAGGAAAGAATCAGGTATCAACAAGCCTTTCTAGATTTATCTCCAATCTTGGGCTTGAAAAAGAGAGAAATGTTGGATATGTATGGCTTTTTGTGAATTCCATTTTGTTGTTAGTTAGAGAAGTTTGATGCTTCCAAGTATGTCTTGCTTTCTAGCATTCCAATTGTTGGTTTTAGAGAGAGGGTGTAAAGTTGTGTATTCTTTTTGTTTTTCTTTTTGTCTACAGAGGCAAGTAGGACAGGTTATGAAGGTGAACAAACCAAGAACTGGGCTCCCCCTACAAACTGCAGTACACTATCAGAGGTCTTTTCTTTTTACTTACTATACAACCTTCCTCCTTTGTCTTTCTGCATAGACTAAGACTCTCCTTTTTTAATTTTATTATACTTTTAATCCCAAAAAAGTAACATAAACACAAACAATTAAGCAGTTTTAATAATGTTGTTATGATTAGAAGTGCATTTTCCTTTTCTTTTAGGTTTATAGCTAGAGTTTAAGAAGCTTATGTAGAGAGATATCCAAAGGGCATTGAAGAAACAATAACAACTTTGTTTGTTGGGAAATGAAAAGGGTTTAAAAGCTGCATTCCTTCCTTTCTGTCGGGACTGCTGCTGTTATGAAAATTGCTGAGTTTTTGGGTCTTGTGCTTATTACGCATTCATGGCGTTGTTTAGGCCAGTGATTTGGGCACCCTTTTTATTCCATGGAATATTTGGGCACCCTGGTAGTGAAAAGACAAAATACCAACCCTGATAGTATTTGCAATTTGGCTTCTCACACACCTTATCAATTTTGAATTTTTTATAAGACAATTCATGATTTGCTAGTCTTCATTAAATTTCAGGAATCTGTTTCAATATCAATGGCAACCAAAGCAGCAATGGCAGAGTACTGTAGACCAGATGGATGGATCCAATTCGATGAAGGAGAATTACAGCATAGAAGAAACTTTATAGAAAGGAATGCCACGTGGGAGATGATGCAGCTGTCTTGTCCATCTCCCACCCACCTAATAAACACCATCTCTAGTGCTGCTAGTACATCTATAGCTACTTCAACTACGTCAACACAAGGAGCAGCAACAGTAAGAGCAATGGACCCAACCAAGCTCATTAAGGCTCATGACCTCAACGTCTTTATATCACCTTACAGAGAGAATTGGCATCATGGAGCCCGTAATATTAACCACTTCAGTAACAGTGTCATCAATGAATTAGGAGATGCATGCAGAGGTGGTACTGGGGAATCTCAAACCCTTCAACTGTTTCCTCTTCGTAGTGGCAGTGACGGCAACAATAATATTGAAAGCATTAACAACAGAGAGGCTGAGGTATCAGTTTCTGCTGCCGAAGCTTTGAACGCTAACAACTTCCCTCCTAGCCAGTTTTTTGAGTTCCTTCCACTGAAGAACTAATGACCAAACCGAAGCATGACTTTTTTTTCCCCCAACTTTATGAGTAGCTTACTATGTATGTAACATGATGGGTTTGGGGTTTAGATATTGTAATTTTGTTGGAAAATGGGAAGTAGTGTTTCTTGTTAATTTTGAGATCAAGATGTTAAATTTCATGGCATTAGTGCAATGGTCCATGGAGAATGAAAAGGAAGGGGATTGCCTTAAAATGCATTTGGACCATGTTAGTTCAGTCCATGAAGAAACATCATTTAAAAGAAAGTCTCAGAGAGCTGGTTAATGCTGTCAGTATAGATAGCTAGCTAGGCCTTGTTTAAGTAACTGAAATCATGTGCATGTGGGATGTTTGGGTATGGGAGAAGGAAAAGAAACAGAAAGTTGAGCTATCCGATGAAGAGATCGAAATGGATGTGAAAGCTTGACGTTGAGGTTGGGGATCCATCCAAAATGGGAATTGAATATGAAACATTTTGATGTTGAAGATGATCCAAAATGGGAACTAGATAGGAAAAGCATTGAATTGATGTTGAAATGACTAAGAAATTAGTCTAGAGAGGTCTTTTGTGCTTTTCTTACGTATTTAGAATCTAACATGATAGTATAGATTCTGTCAATTCATGTGATCCGTGGGAAACCGACTTGTGTTACAGTAATTAATGACGATGACGAAAGATCAACGCTGTTCGATTGTCTCGTAAAATTAACATTAAAAAACTAATTTTTAAACATTTTTTTTCAATACGTAATATTTAAATATTTAAATTATTTTTTAAAAAAATAAGTTGAATTTTATTATTGCTACTCCGAATATGATTAATTATATTTATAATATAAGAGAAAGATATATGAAGCAAAAAATTAAAATTAAAAAAAAACTGATAATACAAACCAATCAATACCTAATAAATCCTAAATATTAGATTATTATTATACAGTAGTAATATATATATAGCTCTAGCCTCTAGAACTTTAGCTAAAATATAATCTAGTGGATCTCTCTTAGGCCTTAGCACATCAGCACCGCCTAAATAAAAAATAATTTACATAGATAAATCTCTCAAGTCTTAGAGAATTTAGGGCTAAAACATACTGGATTATCAACAGATTTGATTAGCCTTCCCCATGTTTATTTTTCTCTGATCTTTAATATGTGAACTTAATTATGGAATTTTGTTTGAGCTGGGATTCTCTCTTCTTAGGTTCTGACTTGACTATTATTGGAGAAGAGACCATCACCAAATACAAGGTTTGATCGATTTGTGTTTATTCATGCATACTAATCATGCATAAATCTATTTATCTTAGGATTTGAGTGTTTTGAGGTTTGAAAATTTCAGAAAAAAAACTAAAATTTATTTATTTTTAATTTAAAAATAGTTTTTTGATATTGAAATATTGCTTTGGAGTTCATAAGGATTATTAAATTTTGGTGGTTATTGAGTGACTTGGTGGTCAAATTAAACAATGTATTTTTTTTTTTAACCATAATCCAAACACAATATAGTTAATGTATTAAAATCAAAAGAAACATATGAGGTGTAAACCCAAACCTAGAAGAGCTATTTAATTCCTTTTGCAAAAATAGAAGAACTAATTTATAATTTATTTTATGTGAAAGAAATAGAATATGATCAATTAGACTCTTTTTTTTTTCCATTTTTTGTTGTTGCTGAGTGAGATGGTTTTCACCAACCTCCTTCTTTACGTCATTATAATTAAAAAAAAACATAATTATTCAAGTTTCATTAAAAATATATATATATCGAATACGCAATCGCTATACTAAATTTGTTTATATCAATTATATTAATGAACTACAATTAAATTAAATCTATTGCAACATTACTAGACTCAAGACAATCTAAAGCGATTAGGCTTTAGTCAATGACCAAGTTACCTCTCAAAAAAAAAAAAAAAAAAAAACAAAGTTTGGTGAATTCAATTCTTTAACAATTTGATTGTTCAAAAGAAGAAAAAGATCTTTAAATATTTGAAAATTCATAAACGTGTCATGGTACATCTATAATATTATCTGCGACGTTTAAAATGATTTTCTTTGTTTAAGCCAAGTATGGATCATAGTGTATTGTCTCTGACGTCTGAGATTTGAAGGTCCACACTACACTACTGAATGTTAGGTCAAAATGACAAATAGCATATGTAAGTGTGTGTGTATGAGAGAGAGAGAGAGAGAGAATAGTCGTTGCAATGAATGCAATAGTAAACATTGAGAAATGGCCATCACAACAAGCTAGTCAGATAATTGTTTTTCAAAAGATCATCACGGTCGGTTCCTCGACAAAACGCATTGTCTCATTTCACACATCTCCTTGCTTTTTTTCTGTTCCACTTGTTCACAACTTGAATCATATTGTACTCATCTCTTAATTTTTCTCGTTTCTCTGTGCAGCAGCAGCAGCAGCCTGATCGCCTGTATGTTTTCAAATAAGACAAAGATTTTGAAATCAAACCAGGGAGAGAGAGAGAGAGAGAGAGAAAGCTTCTTTCGTTCTTTCTTTCTTTCTTTCATGCATGCTACTTTTCCCTTATACCTTGAAATTAGGGATGGGATGATACCATTTCTCCCTCTTATAACAACAAGACCAAAAGTAGAATCAAATGCAGGCTTAACAGATTCTATTACTTGAGTCAAAAAGTATGCATATATTACTCTATGTTTGCATTTCAAACGATATATAGAGATCATGCCTTGCCTGAATTATCACATAACAGAAACCAGTGCCAAAAGTTAATTATTCATAAATTTAAAAAACAAAAAAAACTTAAATTTGAATGTGCATGACGGTTCTATGTTTATGGTCAACTACTCATTTTCTATTCTTTAGTCAAGAGCAAAATAAGTTTATTAATTGATAAAACCATTCATTCACATTTCTTGTATATGAATATTTAATCGTCAAGGTTTCCCTTGGTTGACACGAGGGTTTGATGTCAACAATATCACCTACTTCAGCACGCGAGAAAAGTAATTTCTTGTGAATCCACATTAATCTAATCTGGATGTAAAGGGCTGTTTAAAATCTTTGCAATTGAGACCAAAAATATATATGAAAAGATATAAGAGGATTAACATAAGTGAAAGAAGTTATAGTCATTTAAATAATTAGTTTCGAGTTTGAATTTTTGTGTATATAAAAAACTTATTGGATAGCTATGTTAACTTTATGCGTTCGATCGACCATTGAAGGCTTAGTTTGAATCTTTGTATGTGAAGTATTTCAAGAATCATATATATCATAATGATTTTTATTTTTGGAAAAAATAATCAGTTTTTTTCCCTTAACATATTTAGCCCCCAAGATGATGATTTATTTGGTTCCTTTTCTTCAAACAATTCTAGCTTGATGGGAGGGAAAATTAATTCTTTTCAATCCTTAGTTTTTTGGCAATATATTTAAGGGTTCATTTCTAATAGTGCTTGCTACTGTCTCTTCAAGCTTGGATTCATTCCCGTGTGTAACGGACTGGTTTCTTTTTTTTTTTTTTTTTTTATAATGCGGGCGTTTGGACCAGCTTACGCGCACCTCAATTAATCTCACGATCCCCGAAATTAACGACCATGTAAGCCTCAAGTGGCCACTAAAGAGAGCAATCGGGACTCGAACCCGAGTCACGGGAGGAGCAAACCCCTTGATACCAAGTCCTTGTCGCTGCGCCACCCCCGGGTGGTTGGACTGGTTTCTTTTTCCATGCCCTGGACGTTGTTGTAGGTACTTAAATTCCCTTCTTTTTAAAAAAAAGTACTTCATATTTAAAAATTTAAATTAATCTATTGTTATTCAATCGTATATACAAAGCGAACATAATTATTTACAAAGTTTTTTATATATACAAAGAATTGAATCTAAAACTTTTTTTTTTAAGGAATAAAACTTTTTTCATTAAAATCAATTTTCTTGGTATTATATGTGGTAAATTATTTATCAAAACGCCATTAATAATTTAATGGACTCAGGGTCAATTTTTCCCTGTTCCCTATTCAATTAGTGTACGATTTACCAAACTGAGCCATGTAATGTCCATTCACGAGTTTCTACAATCTGGTTTTTACCTCTCCATGCATTTAATCTATTAAATTGCTTGTTGTGTAACTGTACAAGATGGGCTACCACAAGTTGTACTATAAATATCTGGCTAACGATTAATATAGCAGTGTCTATACCGTCTAGTAATGTCTTGTTTGACGTTTTTTCGAAGCTAATTCGGCAAAAGTTCCTCAACCGAATCGGAAGATTCCTTTCACAATAAAATAAAATAAAAATCTATCAAATGCTTATAGAGGGATCTAACTATGCTTTTCAAACTCGAAAACCATTACTTGAGTGCCTATTTTTATTTTTTCTATTTAAGTATTCATCTGGTAAATCTTTCTATTTAGGTGTTTAAATTAATTTTTTTTCTTATTTGAATATTCACAACATCTGAGATTAAAATGTTAATAAATTCAAAATGAACTATCACATGATAATTTTTCAACAAACATATAGAAAAAAATGAGTATCACTTGGATTATTTATAAAATAATAAAATTTTATTCTTATTTTGACACGGGTTAGTTAAAAACTATTAAATGTCAATTGATTTCTAGCACATTGGTATTTTTCAATTTTAAATGATTGAAGAAATTCAAATTATAGTTTTTTCAATATTTTTTTTTAAAATAATCTAAGCGAGATAGATTTTTTTATGTGTCTATTAAAATTTTTTTAGATAATAGTGTACGTTTAAATAAAAAAAAATCAAAATTAAAGTACTTAAATAAAAAGATTTATAGATTTGAAAATCAAATAGAAAAAAAAATTAAGCACTCAAATTACAGTTTTTTCCTTCTCAAATTTCATGGCACACCATCTTGGTTTGAAAATGTTCCGTTTCTACCATTTTGAACGAGTGATCTTCCCCAACAAAGAGAAAAGTACCTCTCTGTTGCCAGATCCCACTAATAGTTTTATGAAAAGAAAAGGGTGTAACATGATGAT